CTTGAAGTCTGTTCCTCGGTGGCTGTTGTTGAAAGGCTGGTGGTCTGTGAAGAGCTGAACGCGGTGTTGACTTGCTCAATTTCTGAACCACTCTCTTGGTATAAGGCTGTGCTCTCCCAGGCTGCTTGCTTGATGTGATCGTGTCTCTGTTCTATGCACTCAGGTTACTGGCAACGATTGTTATTTAACTTCCGGTCACTCAGCAACTTTGTTTCCTCCTCAGCCGAACTCACACTGCACCGAGGACCCTGATACTTCTGCACAAACACTGATTTTCAGCAGGCATTTTGTCCCCCTTTTCAGTGATGCCAGCCACTTGCCTTTCAGGTAGGCACTCCTGGTCAATCTCTGTGCTCTGACCTTCAGTGAAGCCCTGGCTGGGCTGCTGATGCTGATGCATCCATGTTTTCGCCTGTCGCCTGGGGCTTGGAGCTGCAGAGAGAAATTTCATTTGACCGGGAAAGGTCTTCCCAATGGCCATCAGCATTTTCCTGGCCACTTCCTGCCACAGTATTGACATCCCTCTCATACCCACCTTTAAGACCTGCCTTCAAGTCACCAAGACTGGTCATGACAATGGTCTGGGCACTGCTGTATCTCAGTTGGTTTTCCACAGCAGCGACATGATTTGGAGTGTCCAGCAGTGGACTTTGAACAAACCTCTTCCAGATCAACATCTGCGGCCACTATCACTGAGACGTCTGGCTTCTGTTTGCTACCCCAATCCACAAGTTTCTCCAGTGCCCACTGGCATGTTAACTCCACTCTTACCAGAGTTCGCTAATGCTGCAGGTGCAAGTGTAGCAGTTGCTACATTGGTGAGAATAGCACTTTTCACTGAGCCATGGCACTCCTGGCTTCACCCCAGCAATCGGTCATCTCTTCATGGATAATGAGATCATTAACAACAGCCTTTTGACTGATAAAGTCCCATTCAGACTCACTGCCACTTGATGTTTGTATGTATGTTGCATCTTGTCCACTGAATGCGTGAAGCCAGTCAGAGGCTGGTTATCCGCCATAGTGTTGTTTATCTGGTCTGGGAGGCTGAATGGTACGTCTGCCTCATCACAGGGGATGACTGGCTCAAGGCCTTCACTCTTTGCTCCACTGGCCCCAGAGTTTGCTTGGTCTGAATGACAATTAGATCACTGTTGTCACATCCCACTTGCTTGGCTCCTGCCTGCATAGTTCCAATCGCAACTTCCTTACCGCAGTCCAGTTTCACATTCTCATTGGCAGCCTCAGATCCATGCTGACTTCGGCCTCAGTATTTCCCTGACTAGTTATATTCAGCATAATCTGTTCTGGGTATAACCTCGACACCTGCACTCGGTGACTGGTACGGAGGTTACTGTCTGAATCTGGAAGGTATATGTCCTGAGAACTGCCATCTTCTTCAAGTTTACTCTATAAATCATAAAAGGTAGAAAAATACATAAGAGCATGTCTAAAGTATCTCTACTTTAATTTGTTTTACTGTCCTATCTGTTGTATTGCTCTGAATATTTGCCATGAAGCTTTCTAAATATGTAGGGTGATATGAGAAGCAAGTCTTTGAAGTTGATTTCAAAGGGGTTTTAGTCTAACTACTTGAAGAATGAAGATGAGTCTCAATAAATATCAGCTGAATCAGATTAAAGTAGATAGCTACTCCTTGTCAAAAAATATGGATCAAGGGGACAGGGACTAAAGCTCGGAAAGGGAAAGTGAACAGACAGTTCAGATTGAATTATTTTACACAGAGCGGTGAATACAGTCAAGAATTATTCATAATTTTTCAAATATATATTTGGGGACTAGTCACATCCATCTCAATTGTCTTGAGTCTCTATCCTTTTAGCACACCACTGTAACATAGACAGGCACAATTCACACACACCATGTTTATCAGATATTTACATACACAGTAAATATAAGAAGCAGTAAGTAAGGCAGGCTATGTATAACCTTTGTTGCTGTGTGCTTCACATAGCTGCTGCGGCAAAGGCGCTTCTTTGGTTTCGCAAAGGTAGAAACAAACTTTCCAGCTGAATTCTACTGGCCACGATGAAAAGTAAAACTATTTAGTATAAGATGGAAAAGCAAACATAATTGGATGATGGTAAATGGTAATTGGAAAAGGCACTGATTTTAATGTCTCTTCAAACTAACAGAATCTTCAAATATACTGCTCCTCCAGTACTATACCATAGCCGTTTTGGGACTTTGTTGTGCACAAAATGGCTGTCCCCAAAACACAGTCATAAGTGGTTTTGACATTGAAGGTACAATAGGAATTTCTTCTGCAGCGTTCTGGACATATTTCCATGGAACTTGTCACAAAGCAATGCAAAGCACACCATCGCCACTCAGTGGTACGGATTCAGTAATGCCAGAGCACAATACTGCTGCTATAGAATCAACCCACCTGAGATAATGGTAGCAGACAGTGCTTTTCTTTAGGGATGCGCTCACTGCGAAGCTTACTTTATCATTGCCCCTGCTTCACATCAATTCTGAAATCACAAATTAGCAGTAAACATGCCTCAATTCTAAATACACACTTGTATTTTTAAGAGAAATGAGGGGTTGTTAAACTTGAGTTTCTATACAAAACTAAGATTGATGCACAAAATGATAAATTCATTCATTCCTTCAACGCATTTAATAGATTCTCCAGTCTTTTAAGTCACACAAATATCTGCATATCAGAGCTATCAGTCATTGACCCTAGGGAAGTATTATGTCTGAAAAATTAATCAAAACTAAAAGCATAAATTATTCCCACTTAGACTTATGAATTCTTCTCAAGCACTGTGCAAGGTTTCCAGCATTACTGATTTCAAGTTATAACAATAATAATCCTTGCATTTGATATAGCGCTTTATCAACAATAACAACAACTAGATTACATTTGTATATTGTCTTTCACATCGGGAGGACATCCCAAGGCGCTGGATCACGTCTTTGAGACATCTCAAAGCACTTCACAGAATATACTGTAAAGTGAATAAACTATGTTTTGTGGGCAAAAGTTGCTCGGTACTCAGGTGCTGGTCACTAGATTTGCACAATTGTCCTGTGTGGAAAGGATAGGGCGTGAGGAAAAGGTGACCTTTCTTTACCTTTGGTCTGAAGGTTAATATCTCGTGCTTCTGACTGTTGATTGTTCCCCCTTCACAGTGACGAGCTCTGTTCCGTGTTTGCATTCTGCTGCCTCTTCTCGCTCTGCAATCTGTTCATCTCCAGGCTGCGAGCGTTTCTACAAGCTTTCTTACTTACCTTTTTTACGGTGGCCAAAGGCGCATTGTCCTCCTTTCTTTTACTAAGACGGTACAGAGTAAGAGGTGAAATTATTCCAGTTGAACTTTGCTACATTCATTAACAGCTCTGTGGCAATGATAAAATTACCAGGAGCAAAATAACAGCTGCTAAATTCAGTAAAACACTGCTGTACAAAGGCACATTTTAATGTATCAAATGCAAGAATGTACTATATCTTTTCAGTAATTAATAATTATTTTGACACAATTTTGTTGCACCAGCTATCTATCCTATTGACATAATCACCACAGAATGGCAGATGTTAAGACAGAACACTGTAAATACAGAGCTCGCCTGATATTTACCTGAAGCTGCAGGGAGAGATTTCCTCCTTTTATCCATCACATTCTAGCAAAGGAACATCCGCAAAGCTACGAATCTACACAACACCGATAGACGTACTGGACAACAACTTTCATTTATAATAATCCTTGCATTTGATGCAGCGCCTCATCGCCTCCTCAAGACGTCTCAAAGAGACTTCACACAGCGTACAAAGACTTGCGGTTATATAGCGCCCCCTCCACACAGGGTGGCATCTCGGGAGCGCTTAAAGTTTACACTGAAAACTTTATATATGTGTGTATATATTTGTAATATACATTTTATTTATGTGGTGCCCCTCCCTGCGCAGAGGAGATGAAGGTGGGGAAGGAGGGGGACAAGGTGGAGGGATGGAGGAAGAGTGTGGCAGAGTTGGACAGTCAGGGATGTGCAATCGAGCTGAGGTTTCTCACCCACCCACTCATGAATCATTCCCTCATACATACCCACCTGCTGTGTCTTTGGTGTGTAATACGCAGAGGGGAAGGTGGCTGTCGGGGCCTGTGCGAGTGTGCGAGTGTGAGTGTGTCAGTGTGCGCGCGGCTGTCAGTCTGCGTCAGTCAGTGAGTGTGACCACGGATTGCGCCTGAGAGCGTGTGTTAAGGTCAGTCAGTGAGTGTGTTCAGTGAGTGCGTTAAGGTCAGTCAGTGAGTGTCAGTGAGTGTGTTAAGGTCAGTCAGTGAGTGTGTCAGTCAGTGAGTGTGCTAAGGTCAGCCAGTGAGTGTGTCAGTGAGTGTGTTAAGGTCAGTCAGTGAGTGTGTTCAGTGAGTGCGTTAAGGTCAGTCAGTGAGTGTGTCAGTGAGTGCGTTAAGGTCAGTCAGTGAGTGTGTCAGTGAGTGCGTTAAGGTCAGTCAGTGAGTGTGTCAGTGAGTGCGTTAAGGTCAGTCAGTGAGTGTGTCAGTCAGTGAGTGTGTCAGTCAGTGAGTCAGTGAGTGTGTCAGTCAGTGAGTGTGTCAGTGAGTGTGTTACGGTCAGTCAGTGAGTGTGTCAGTCAGTGAGTGTGTCAGTGAGTGTGTTAAGGTCAGTGAGTGTGTCAGTCAGTGAGTGAGTGTGTCAGTCAGTGAGTGAGTGTGTCAGTGAGTGAGTGTGTCAGTGAGTGAGTGTGTCAGTCAGTGAGTGAGTGTGTGTGTCAGTGAGTGAGTGTGTTAAGGTCAGTCAGTGAGTGTGTCAGTCAGCGACGGTTTAACGGCCGCGGCAGCACGAGGGACGGACGGACTGCAGCCCCGCGCGCAAAACGCACTGCGCCTGCGCCTGGTCTCGCGGCGGCCACAGAACTTCCGGCCCCGGGGGGGGGAGGGAGGGAGGAGTGGCACTACAACTCCCGGCATGCCGCGCGCCGCCCCGCCCCGCCCGCCCCCCCGACCGGAAGTGAAAGGGGGGAAATGTCCGAGTCCGAACCCTGAGCGGCGAAGGAGGGCGGCGACGGGCGATGGACCGCCACCGGAAAGCGCGGCCTGAGAGACGCCCGGGAGCCGCGGCCCGGCAGGTGGGAGCCGCCTGTGTGGGGAGGAGGAGGGGAGAGAGAGAGAGGGAGAGAGGGAGGGAGAGAGAGAGAGAGAGGAGGGAGAGAGAGAGAGAGAGAGAGAGAGGAGGGAGAGAGAGAGAGGGAGAGAGAGGAGGGAGAGAGAGAGAGAGAGAGAGGAGGGAGGGAGAGAGAGAGGGAAGGAGAGAGAGAGAGAGGAGGGAGAGAGAGAGAGAGGAGGGAGGGAGAGAGAGAGAGGGAGGGAGAGAGAGGGAGGGAGAGAGGGAGGGAGAGAGAGGAGGGAGGGGAGAGAGGGAAGGAGAGAGAGAGAGAGGAGGGGAGAGAGAGGAGAGAGAGAGGGAGAGAGAGAGAGAGAGAGAGGAGGGAGGGAGAGAGAGAGAGGGAGGGAGAGAGAGAGAGGAGGGAGAGAGAGAGAGAGGAGGGAGAGAGAGAGAAGGAGAGAGGGAGGGAGAGAGAGATGGAGAGAGGGAGAGAGAAGGAGAGAGGGAGGGAGAGAAGGAGAGAGGGAGAGAGAGAGAGATGGAGAGAGGGAGAGAGAAGGAGAGAGGGAGAGAGAGAGAGAGAGAGAAGGAGAGAGGGAGGGAGAGAAGGAGAGAAGGAGAGTGGCCCAGGTCACCCCCTGTGTGTTTGTGTGACTGACCCGGGTTGCTGGGCCGAAGTCATTAAATCTCAGCCATCTGTTGCTCCTCTGCCTCCTCAGCACTTGATATGTTCTCCGCAGTCATCCTTGCGTTTTGACTTGATGCCGTGTCCGTGGAGTCCTGGAGCTCAGCGGTTGGCGCCCGCGCTCTCGCCTCGCGAGCCAAGAGACACCTGGGTTCAATTCCCGGCCGGGCGAAACCTTGGGCAGGTTTCCTTGCTCCCGCTCCCGCCCGACCATAGTCCCTCCAGAAACTGAAACGGTAATAAATCGGTCATCGTCGGTCCACGGCTGTCGGTGGGACACTCCACTCCGCTGCCGTGCGCCTTTGGCTGCCGCGTTTCGCCCACCAATATGCGGTCAATTCGCTTTGCGGCGCACTGGGTGGAGCGCTTTGAGACGTCGAGAAGACGTGAAAAGCGTTCTATCGAATCAAGGAATATTATTACTACGGCGCCTTATCGCGGGAAAGCGCTTCACGGAGCATTACCGGGCAGTTTAGTGACTTGTGTGTTTTGTGGGCGAAACACGGCAGCCAATTGCCCACAGTGATGTCCCACATACACAGTGTTCTATTATTTATTTTATTACTATTATTATGATTACTTTCCTCTCCAGACCTTTGACTCTTTCCCCCGCTTGCGGTCTTATCTGTGACCACATCTCACGTTTTATTGAATGGCTTTTCAAGACTTTAATACTTCAGCAAGGTCTTTCCTTTAGCCCTGTCTTCTCCAGCGTAAGGATCCCCAACTTTTAATAATGATAATAATAATAATCCTCGCATTTGGTATAGCACCTTGACATGTCGACGAGGCATCTCAAAGCACTTTGTAGAGTATACTGAAAAAGGGAATGACTGTGTATTTTGTGGGCAAATCACGGCAACCAATGGCGCACAGCCACTCCTTATAACTCAGGTGCCAAAGTGCAACTATTTTAATTGTCATTTGCCGCAGCTCCTTCAAGTCTTAGGTAACTGGAATTGTACCTGACTACCCCCAGTGGACGGGGAAGAGGGAAGCTATAAGGGTATAAACAGTTGGCTTGGATGTTTGTATCAAGTTAATGCTGGTGTTTTGATATAATAATAGTAATAATCCTTGCCTTTGATATAACACCTTATCACGTCGTTGAAATATCTCAGAAGCGCTTCAAAAAATATATTGTGGCTGAAACCCAAGTGGAGTGACTGAAATTTGTGCACAAAATATGATATCAACCTTTGGCTCCATGTTAGATTCAGTTTTATTTGGAAAGAAAATGTGATGTTTTGTTGTGTGATAGACTGCCTGTACGTGCGGATCTCCCGAGCTTCCTAATGCACGTGTTTTCACAGCTTGGGCTGCTGGTGGATTTCACAGCAGATGGCACGATGATGGAGGTGAATGACGATGAAAACGATGCAGATTTGGAAGCCGAACTTGCAGCCATCACAGGAGAAACGCCAGCTAGTAAAGCAGGAAGGCCAAAAGGAAAAAGTACGGAAATATCATCATTATCCATCCCACCCCCAAACTCATCTGTCTTGTCAGAAACTGAATTGTTTGATCCCTGACTGCCCAGCATCTTGGGACGTACTCCAGATGTGAAAGGCACTATGCAAATGTAATTTGTTGTTGTTGTTGTGAAGTTCTGCAATTGAGCTAAATCCACAGACTGTTCCTGACAGCATTTGCATCATTAACTGGATTAACGAAAGATCAGCTTTCTGTTTAAAAGTGGCGCTGCCTAGCTTTAGAACTGTCTTACTGAAAAAAAATCGTTTCCACCGACCAGAGTGAGCAAATGGTGCCAGTAGATTTTTTTTTATGATTCTTTACTGGGAAGGTTCAGGGGTAAGAAAAATGCAGCCTTCCTTGTGTACATTAGAGGAGAAGCCTGTGATTACCATGCAGACTGAGGTTAATTCAAATGCCATGCAGGCCATCTGATCCCACTGTCTGACTGACAGACAGAATTATGATTTTGGGATCAGTACACAGCTTAGAACACAGAATGATGGTGCTAATCGCCTACTCAGTTTGTCTCCGCGGCTCATGTGCCCAAGCCTTGTGGTTGGATGGTTTCCAGGAGGACTTGGGTTAATTAGAACTGAGTGCCTGTGCTTCCCCCCCGGGGATGGAGGGGAGAATGAGCTGTGGAGACGTCTTACTCATTGCAGGCTGCGTTTTCTCCTGCCTGATAGAAGTTGAATTGGATTTATGTGTTAGGAACTGCGAGGAAACTGCCCGACCCGATTTGTATCAGAGCTTTGACAGCCACGAGACTGGCTGGGAGAGAGAGAGGACTTCCACCTTGTCTGTCTGAGCAAGCTGAAGCTGTCCAGAGAGGCAGGACAGCATTCATCTCGCTGCCATCTTCAGGTTGCGCCTGAAGATCTTTCCTATTCGACCCTCCCTACGGTCACCTCCCCCCCAGCTCGGCGTCATGCTCCGTCACTGTCAAGCGCTCTGGGACGCTACCCTCCGTGAGGAGTTCTATATAAATGCAAGTTGTTGTTATTGTTGTCTCCCAGCTCAGCTTGGATAAAGGGGCACAAAAAAAAGTCCAGAAGTTAAGTGAGGCCTGATCTAGTTCTCTCGTTCGTAGCTCCACTCCCAATGCAAGATATTGAGCGAATGGCGGCTCTGTGCATGAAGGACCTCGATGAAGATGAGCAGGATGAAGATGTGGATGATGACGAGGACTTGTTGGCAAGTGTAGTGTTCGAAATGCTGTGCTCCTGCATCTGCTTCTCTCCAGGCTGGAAAGTTCAGCACCTGTCCCCCGCAGGCTGCCTCAGGTGGAATGTACTGTCAGCAGTTTCCTGAGCACTGACACAAAACTATTTTCCCCCATGAAAGTGTCTTCCTGGTAGACACTTTCTCCTGGTGTCCAGAGGTTCCAGCCATCGCTTACCCACTTCCACCTGTCCATATAAATGTCCATCCCACAGTTCCTTTGCCTCACGTCCTCCCTTGCCTCCTTCAAAACCCCTCTCAAGATCCTCCTCTTTGACCGTGCCTTCAGTCAACCTCCTACCCCTGCACTCCCTGTCCTTCACCCCTCCTGATACCAACCTCCTGCTCGGGTCCAAATCCCTAACTGTCCAGCGGCTTGGGATGTCCTCCTGATGTAAAAGGTGCTGTGTAAATGTCATTTGCTGTTATTGTTGTCCACGTGAAGGGCTTTCAGGCGTTCTTCCATAGTGTGAGTGGTTGTTGATCACAAGGCTGTTTGTTTGCACAGTGAGCTGACAATTGTGAGTTTGAGTCCAGGCTTTGAGCTGATTTATTTGGGCAATTATAATTTCTAAAGACTGGAGTGTTCATGAGCTGATGTCATTTTCTAGGCGGAACTAAGTGAAGTGCTTCAGGATACGAAGGAAGAACAGACCAAGGCTCCGACACCCCCATCACACAGAACTCGAGTCCCTGACATAACCCCGCAGCAACAGGTAATTTTTGCAGTGTTTTGCAGAGTGTTTGCGTTACTCACTGTTTACCCTAAGACTCGCGACCGGTAGGATTAAGAAAGCTGTATTTCATAGTTGATGAATGGCTGTGTGTTTTTTAATGTCTTATTTCTTGTGGTTGCAGCCGAGTACAGCCCCTGCAGGGGTGGAGAGCGTGCTGACGGAACGGATCGATGCATACAAGTCTGCCATTAACAACGCCAAACAGTCAGGAGAGAGCTCTAAGGTCCGGCGGTATGAGCGTGGGCTCAAGGTAACAACGTGCTGGGTTATCTGACAAATGGCTACTCGCGAGGTACAGTCCTCACACAGCGTCACAGAGCACAAGCTGCTAGAGTTATTGATCGCCATCTGGCTCCCTGGGCGATGGAGAGGGAAGCGCAGCCGTAAGACCTGATTATCCCACAACCCGCTGCCTCCACTCAACTGGCTCCGGCCTTCTGCATATCCCTTGTGCCCTCCGTTCCACCATCGGTGGCCGTGCGTTCAGCCACTACGCCCCGAAATTCCTCTAACCATCCGCCTTGCCCCTTCTTTCCCCATTTTCAGATCGGGCCTGAAGACCTCCCTATTCGACCGTGCCTCCAGTCACCTCCCTCTCCCCCCAGCTTGGCGTTGTGCTCCGGCAATGTCAAGCGCTCCGGGATGCTTCCCTGCGTGAGGGGGCGCTGTGTAAAATGCAAGTTGTAGTTGTAATGACTCTGAGTTACTATCTTGTACGAGGGACGCTATATAGAAGCATGTTGTTGTTGTTGTTCCTGATTGCTGTGCGTGGGACTTTGCTGCTAGTATAGTGACCGTGGCGTTTGCCTCTACCAGTCACTGCGTTGGACAAGCAATCTCTTGTGAAGGATAACTCAGTCTTGCTTGCACTCCCCTCCCTACCCCCTCCAACCCAAACCCCCCCACCCAACCCCCCACAGACCTTACAAACCATGCTCACGTCGGCGAAAAAAGGGAAGAAGATCAACGAGGAGGAGATCCCACCACCCGTGGCTACCGGGAAGAGCAGTAACGCTGTCTCTCTGAGCACCGCGCCTGCTACAGAGAGCCCTTCCCCGCTCCAGGTGTCCGACTCCCCTGATAGTGCCCCCGGGGGACCTGCCGCCCCAGCCCCCCGCCGCGGGCCACCCCTTTTACTGCCAAAGCCGACGCTGACGGTGCCGCCACCGGCCACAGCACCGAAACCACCGGAGCGGACGCCCGTCACAGCCCCCCAGCGGGAAAGCGGCCCAGCAGTGAATAACAGGACAGGTAGGAGCAGCGCGAGGGGTGACAGTGGGAGTCTTTGTCGATGTCTGCTGGGGATTCTACAGCAACAACGCATGAAATTTTCGCAGCGCCTTTCACGTCAGGAGGACGTCCCAAGCTACTGGACAGTCAGGGATACACACCCGAGCTGGTGGTTGGGATCAGGAGGGGTGGAGGGCGGGGAGGGTAGGGGTAGGAGGGTAGCCAAAGGCACGGTCTTGAGACGGATTTTGAAGGAGGCAAGGGAGGGGGCGAGCAAGGCGGAGGAACTGTGGGGTGCTAGTGCTGTTGAAGCCTGAAAACACTTGCTCAGTGCCCCGTGTCTTGTTCTTATTGACTTACCGTCACGGCCCATCTCAAGGCCCTCCTCTTAGACCGTGCCTTTGGTCACCCTCCCACCCCCACCTTCACCTTCCCTAACCTCCATCCCTCCGGATCCCAACCCCCAGCTCGAGTCCAATTCCTTGACTGCCCAGCGTCTTGGGATGTCCTCCCGACGTGAATGGCGCTGCGTAAATGTAATCTTGTTGACTGAGAGGTAGATCGTGACATTGGCATTTTTGCTCGCTGATTTTCTTCTCTCTGAGGATATTTGATGTCCGTGTGAGGCATCCGGCAGAGTCCTAGCTCTCTGGGTGGGAGAGCCTGATGGCGTCAGATCCCATCTTTACCCAACCGTCCACACGGCTTTTAGGGAGCTGAGGCATGGCGTGACAGCGGGGCTTTATTTTGTTAGGTTCTCCCTCCCTGTCTGTATTAAGCCAGCGTGTTGCTGGGCTGTTTGTGACCGCAGGGAGGGAGTGTAGCGAGCAGGAGGCGGTGCAGAGCAGGCAACGGGAGTACAAACTGGCAGCGCTCCACGCTAAACGTCGCGGAGACACGCAGCTCGCTGCACAATACTACCAGATTAGTAAGGTAGGATCGCACGCACGCACCATACATCCTCATACACGCACCTCACACGCACACACCTCACACACCTCACAAACATCATACATATGTACACACACCGTACATATACACACAGACGTGCACATATACCATACACACACCTCACAAACGCATACACACACGGCACACACGCACAGACACACCATACAAACCTCATACATACCATGGACAGCACACACACACACACACATATGCACACCCCCAGACACAGAGCCTAGTAACTCGCTGACGGACGCTTGTGTAGCGTAGAAAGCAGCCCTTTAACCTCTCATATGTTTGACCCGAACAGAAGTTTGACCCAGCCCTTGAGGCGCTGGCGAGCGGTGCAGCTGTGGACCTCAGTAAACTGCCTCCCCCGCCTGGTAGGTGCTTGGCCCACTTCTTCCTCTCCCTGCACGTGCTGTGTGTTGTATGTAGCGACCTGGCCGCAGTGTGTGAACGTGCCCTGGGATGGTTGAGTGCTGTGGGCTGGAGGCTGTAACTGGCTCGTTTCCAATGTGAGTTCAACCTAGTGCTGGGACGTTGCACAGGCAGAGGTTTGGTCTTGGGTGGGGCTCGACAGTTGTCCGTCCGTCCTGTTATTGAGAGTCTGAGCAGCACCCTGTGTTTGTTTTTGGGATAAAAATAATAATAATAAATTGGTCACTTCAATCCACGACTGTTTGTGGGACACTGCTGCGCGCGATTGACTGGCGTGTTTCGCCCACAAAATTTACAGTCAAATTCACTTGACAGTGTATTTAGTGAAGCGTTTGGAGACATCTCGAAGACGTGATAAGGCGCTGTATCAAATGCAACGCTTATTATTAAGGGAGACGGAGGAGAGAAGGATACAGAAGAGAATATTGGAAAATGGGTACTCGACTGAGTGTGGGTGGTAGCTGTATTTTGTCTCAAACCTTTATTTTTCGCTTTGTTTCTCCCTCTCCCCTCCCCAGATTCCCCGAATGACAGCTCCTCAACTTCTCCGGGTCAATCTTCTCCCCCAGTTCCAGCTTCCAACCCTCCACAGCCACTCTCTGCACCAGGTACATCTGCACAGAACTCCGACCCTCTTCCTCTTCCAATAGAGCAGAGGCCTGGACCCTCGACAGCTGGTATTAACAGGAACGTTTCTTCCCATTAATACCAGCTGTAAACATTGGGGATAATGGATTGCTTACCCCCCCTCCCCCCCCACTCCACCATCCGCTGCCTCCACTCGGTTGGCTCCGGCCTCCTGTTTGTCCCTCCATTCCACCGTCGGTGGCTGTGCCTTCAGCTACTGCGCCCCAAAACTCTGCAACTCTCTCCCTCAATCCCTCCGCCTGGGGGACGTCACCCGGCGTGAGGGGCGCTACGCGAACGCAAGCTGTTGTTACTATAGCTGTAAACATTGCGATTTTCCCCCACAAAGTATCGAGTCGCTCCATTTTACAGTATGTCCTGAGAAGGTCTTTGACGTCTCGACGACTCGGTAAGGCACCACAGTAAGGATTATTATTTTTATTCTTGTCTGTAGGAGTGCCGCCTCCCCCGAGAGACGTAATGGAGGCCCTTCAGCAGAGAATGGACAAGTATAAGTCCGCAGCCGCACAGGCCAAGGGTGAGGGCAATGACCGCAAGGCACGCATGCACGAGCGTATCGTCAAGGTATGGTCAGAGCCTCATGAGTTTCCGGCGCGTCAGGCAGGGGCGGTGGGTGGGTGCCGAGGAGTGTTGTCTGAGGGAGGAGGGAAGGGGAGCAGACGCTCGCGCTCTTGAGTTTACAGGCGAACGTGATTCTACTTGTAACGTCGTCTTCTCTTTCGTTGCCTGTTTCAGCAATACCAGGACGCCATTCGAGGGCACAAAGCGGGGCGGAGCGTTAACCTGGCAGAGCTGCCGGTCCCGCCAGGTACGGTGTTCTCCCACTCCTTACCCCTAACCGTCCCCCCCAAACCCTAAACCCCATTCCTCCGTCCCACATCGGTCACTGCAGTTGCGGAGTGTACAGGGATCAGTGCATTGAGCAGCGCTAGGCATTCCCTCCAGGCAGAGCTGCCAGTGACAGCTAAAGGCAGTGTATTATGTGGGACACGTGAACGGACGCTGTGGGAAACACAAGGCTGTGTGTCCAGGGCCAGGCCAGTGAGTGCTGGGTTGTGTGGCAGCGCTCTGCACTGATCCACTGAGCGCCTTGTGTCTTGCTTTGCCAGGTTTCCCCTCCATCCAGGGATTGGAGAGCTCCGGCCCCAGCCTGGCCGGCATGCTGGATAACGCTATGCAGCTCGTCAATCAGGAGGTGAGCGACGCGGAGGCGGAGGCCAAGGTGAGGAAAACAAGCTGCAGGTTCCGTTGCGCTCGACTTGCATTTGCAGAGCGTCTCGGAGCGCTCAACATTGGCCCGGCCAGACGTTGAGCCGAGGGGGGGTGGGAGGGAGAAGGTGAGGAGCACAGTCGAAGAGGAAGGTCTTCGAGCGTGACCTAAAATGAGGGAAGGAGGGGGCAAGGCAGAGCTATTGGGGGAGAGAGTTCCAAAGCCTCAGGGACCTGCTTCCCCCCCCCCCCACCAGCCCCTGTTCAATGAAACCACCTAAAACTCAGTTTGGACCTGGTTTGTAGCCCGTGTTTGTCTGTGGGCTCAGAGAGTGCAGGGAATCAGAAGACAGCAGAGAGATCTGAGCAGTCTGGGAATTTTCTGTAGTTTCACCTGTGCTTTAATAATAATAATAATAATCCTTGCATTTGCTATAGCGCCTTATCACGTCTTCGAGACGTCTCAGAGCGATTCACAGAATACACTGTAAAGCGAATCGACCGTATATTTTGTGGCAGCCCATTGTGGAAGGGGAGGGGGGTCCTATTTTTTCTCCTCACCCTCCTTCCCACCCCCCTTGACGAGAACCCTAAGCGGGCTTGTGAGTTGCCCGTTAGACTGGAGTTAAAGAGCTAGGATTGAGCGACTGACATGTCTGATGTTCCTCAGCCAGTAGTGCGCACACCTGCTCCAAAATCACAGCAGCAAGTACCTGCCGGAGCACCCAGCAAGCCCACAGCCAAGCAGCTCTCAAATAAAGGTGTGTGCGCGTGCGCAAATATAACAAGCGTGCTTCGTGCTGGGGGCGGAGGGGGAGAGTTTACACCTGATGTGGCCATCGGTGTTCCAACCTTCAGCCTCTCTGCCCCCACCCTCTGGAACTCTATATCACATTACCTCCACCTCGCCCCCTCACTTGCCTCCTGCAAGGTACCTCTCTCTCTCTCAAGACCCTCCTGTTTGGCCGCCCACACCTTCGGTCACCCTCCCACCCCTAAACTTCCCCGCCCTTCACTCCTCCTGATCCCAACCCTCAGCTCGGGTGCAGATCCTGACTGTCCAGCGCCTCAGGACATCCTCCTGACATGAAATGCGCTATGTCAATGTCATTCGTTGTTGTTGTTGATACCATCTGTATTGATCGGGCTGTGTTAATGTTTCTCTTTTAGACGTAAAATACAAGCGTGTCTTTGAGGTGGGAATTTTTGGCTAGTTTCTCTGGGCTAACGTCTCGGTCTCGGGCTGCTCTGTCCCTCTCCCTTCCACTCTCTCTCTCTCTCTTTCCCTACCTCCCTCTCACTCATTCACTCTCTCCGTCTCTCACAGCTCAGCAGCAGCTACAGTTCCTGGAGAACAGGAAGAAGCAGTTGATGAAGGCAGCGCTTCGCACCAAGCAGAAGAACGACCTGGAGGGAGCCAAGCTGTACCTGCGGCAGGCCAAGGGGCTGGACCCCATGATCGAGGCCGCCAAGGGCGGGCTGCCCGTCGACATCAAAAAGGTAATGTTTATGTATAATATATAAAACGTCTGCGTTTAACAATATATAACAATATACCTGGGTTCGATTCCCGGGGAGGACGAAACCTTACCCAGGTTTCCTTACTCCACACGCACGCCCCTGTTTACCCAGCAGTAAGTAGGAACACGGTTGTTAGTCGATTGGAGGATCGCTTTCCCTCCAAGATAAATCAAAATAATCTGGTCACTCCATCCACGACTGTTTGTGGGACACCGCGATTGGTTGCCGAGTTTTGCGCACAAAATACACAGTCACTACACTTTACAGTATATCCTGTTAAGCGCTTTGAGTCGTCTCGAAGACGTGATAAGACACAAATGCAAGGTTTATTATTTTATTTTTTTGAAGGGATTATTACCCCCAGAAACACGATCCGCCAGTCGACTAACAAGTGGGTAACTATTTACTGCTAGGTAAACAGAGGCGCGTGTGTGTGGCAAGGAAACTTGCCCAACGTTGCGTCCTGCCAGGAATCGAACCCAGGTCCTCTCGCTTGCAAGGCGAGCGCTTTAATGACTGAGCTACAGGACTCCACGGAAATATTAAGTTGTTGTTGTAGTTGTTGTAACCAAGGGGGTGTTTGTGCTGCAGGTTCCACCTCCCCCGGAGAGCGAGGAGGACTTTGTTCTGGTGCAGGGCCGGGGAGTGCACATACCCCACAAGACAGCCGAGCAGTACGCACAGCTGGTGGAGGTGCTCAAACAGCAGCACGAGGTAAAGTCGCTCGCTCCCTCGCTGCTGTATGCCGCACACACTACTATACTCCTGGGGTAAATGCACAGAGATTGGCCTCGGTCTCGCTGTGTTGAGAAGACTTGTGGCCAGTGCCCCCACTCCTGTCTGCCCAGCCTCATGTACACGTGTAGATGTTCGGAGAGGACAGCGTTGGGCCTGATGTGAATTTATCCCACACACACTCGCCGCACACGCCACACACACACGCTTCACACACAAGTTCGATGGCGATGTGGAAACACTCTCTAATCCACAATCATGTAAGAAGTGGGAATAGTACCAGCACTATCCTAACAAGACAACTTCCTAACAGTTGTGTGTGTGTGTGTTCTGTCCCTCTCCGCAGACCTGCATGAAGTACTCCAAGCAATACACACACCTGGGGAATGTGTCGGAGACCACAAAGTGAGTGCCATAAAGTCTTGGGCATCCGGAATGTCCCAGCTGTAGGACCATCTAATCCCTGTCTGTCAAGCAAACTGTGTGAGCAGCACTTTGTGACGGTTCAGGGAGATGAGGCACTTGAACAAACAGGAGTATTATTATGAATAATTGAGCTTTTTCAGGGGGATCGGAAACGTTCAGCCTGCTATTCCGCGCACACAATCGGGGAATGTGTCAAACCAACAAAGCAATGGAAACACCTGCTTATCCTTCGTGCCCTCTGCTCCACCATCGGTTGTCACTACGCCCCAAAACTCTGGAAGACTTTTCCTCTATCCCTCCCTCCACCTTGCCCCATCCTTCCCCATCTTTGGGTTGTGCCGGAAGACCTTCCTCTTCGACCATGCCTATGGTTACCTCCCACCGGCTCAGCGTCGTGCTCCGCCGGGGTCGAGCGCTCTGGGACCCCGCCCTACGTGAGGGGTGCTGTGTAAATGCAAGTTGTTATTGTTCTAAGTGAAGGGGTGCATCGCAGTTTGGGAATGGGAATGCACTGATGGCCGGTGGTGTCTGCGCTTTATCTTCAAGGTTTGAGAGAATGGCCGAGGAGTGCAAGAAGAACATTGAGATCCTGAAGCGAGCTCACGCACAGGGCTATCCCCTGCCCAAGTACCACCACGAGGAGAGGACCTTCCAGGTGGTGAAGTGAGTATCCACCGCAGAGCACGTCCCAAGGCGCTGGACAGTCAGGGATTTGGACCCGAGTTGGTGTTTAGGATCCGGAAGGGTGGAAGGTGGGGAGGGTAAGGGTAGGACGGTGACTGAAGGAACGGTCAAAGAGGAGGCTCTTCAGACGGGACTTGAAGGAGACAAGGGAGGGGGTGGGGCAAAGGGGCTGTGTGATGAAGTCCAAAGGGTGGGGGCAGATGTGAAGGGGTGCAGAGGTCAGAGGGTGCAGAGGATTTAGTTAGTGTGAACACTCAGTCAGTGACCACCCACGCCGGCCACACTGCCAGCCTGACCAGAGGTGATTGGCTTATGTTTGTGTCTGCGTGTGTCTATGTGTGTGTGTGTCACCCATTAAATATACAGTCAATTCACAGTACTGTGTATCCTGTGAAGCGCTTTGAGACGTCTCGAAGACGTGATGAGGTGCTGTATCAAATGCAAGGGTTATTATTATTATTAAGATGGCTTGATGGCTTGACTGGGGTGTCTGGCCACCCAGCCTGTATTGGCACAGAGTTGGCCTTCACTGACAGCCGGCTGGGCTGCTTATGATTCCTGTGGGATCTGAGCGCAGGATGAGGTGCTGTGGCTCAGGCTGACGTGTGTTTGATGGGAGGCGTCTCTTTATTCCAGGATATTTCCCAACCTCACGAGCAGCGACATGATTCTTTTCATCGTCAAAGGAATCAACTTGCCAGCTCCTTCAGGTACTGTGTTCATCTGCATACCGGGGAGGAGGTGGGGGAAGAGATCTGGAGGAGGGGTGGGAGGAGAGTGATTGGCAGCTGCATTTCACCCACAAAATACAGTCACCTCACTTTACAGTGTATTCTGTGAAGCGCTTTGAGACGTCTTAACGATGTGATAAGGTGCTAATCAAATGCAATGATTATTTTTATTTGGGGGACATTGTGAGATTATTGCCGGTGGGCGAATGATTGGCGGGGGGACATTGTGAGAGAGGGTGGGTGAAGAGGGGAGGATGAGGGGTCATTGACGTTGTTATTTGTAGTGATAATTAACCCTGCCCTGCGTCTCTTGTCTTAGGTGTTTCACCTAATGATCTCGACACCTTTGTCAAGTTTGAATTTGCATTCCCGAACACAGTAAGTAATCTGTCTGTGTGTGTGTGTGTCTGTATGTATGTGTGTGTGTCCAGCAGATACTAGTCACTGCTCTGCGCAATTGGCTGCTGCATTTCACCCATAAAATACACAGTTGCTCCACTTTACAGTATATCTTGTGAGACTTCTCAACAAAGCAATAAGGCGCTGTATCAAATGCAAGGATTATTATTATGTATTATAGAGTGTGGGAGACAGTGGGGGAGTGGGACTGGTTGGATGGCTCTTCCACAAAGAGCCGGCACAGGCACAATGGGCCGAATGGCCTCCTTCTGCGCTGTAATATTCTATGATTATACTTGCAGCATTTGTTTCTCATCAACAGGAGGAAGCGCAGAAGGACAAAACCTCGGTGATGAAGAACACAAACTGCCCAGGTAGGTGGGGCGTTCCCGCTGCACTCAGTCCTTCCCAGGGATGTGTGTGTCCACAGATATCAGTGTTAACACTAACAGCGCTCCTCCTCTCTCCCTATCCGTGTCTTGCAGAATATAACGAGCAGTTCAAGCTGACGATTAACCGAGGACATCGAGGGTTTAAGCGAGTGGTTCATTCCAAAGGCATTAAGTTTGAAGTCGTTCACAAAGGGTAGGGAAGCAATGGAATCCTGTGCCTTACTGGAGGGTGTGTGTCTGAGGGATCCAGGACTGTTAGAATTCCCTGTTGATCACGGTTATTAGTAGGGCATTCCCTGTCCTAAACCCTCTGTAAATAATGATAAGCTAATCTCTCCCTTTGTTCCGCTGTTGCTGTACGCTGTCCTGTTCATCCCTCGTCCCCTCTGCTCCACCCTCGGTGGCCGTTCCTTACAGCCACTATGCCCCGAAACTCTGGAACTCTCTCCTTCAATCCCTCCCTGCTTTTAAATCCTGCCTGAAGACCTTCCTTTTCGATCGTGCTTACGGTCACCCCCAACTCCCCCCCGGCTCAGCGTCGTGTTCCGCCACTGTCAATCGCTCTGGGACGCTACCTTGCATTCTGGGTGCTATATAAATGCAAGTTGTTGTATGTTTCTGAGGCACACTGTTAGCCATCTAAGCTCTCTCACCCACAGTGTGTGCCTTTCCTATCCCCAGGGGGGTAAGAGAAGGCTTAGACGGTTACATTCTGCCTGCCCACACCTCCGAGCTGCGGGCTAATGCTGCTCTCTGCTTCCAGCGGGCTTTTCAAGACCGACCGTCCAGTAGGCAATGCCCAGCTGAAGCTGGAGAAGCTGGAATCGCAGTGCGAGCTCAGGGAGATCATTGAGGTGACGTTTTCTAGAACTTGGAGTGGAGCAAAGCAGCACACAGCAAAACAAACACGCCCACACGCACCACACACGCACGCCCACACACACACACCCACACACCAGGGACGGGGGACACACTTGACAACAGACACTGGGGACCAGAAGAACGCTGACACAAGGGGACGGGGAGTGGTGTGGGAGGGTGGGCGGTAATTCTGGACAGTGGAGTGGGAGAACGGGGACGACAGTAATTCTGGACAACAGGGAGTGTTAAGGACCGCTGGCTGACCGCTGGGGTGGCTGACATCTTCTCTTCCACCAGGTGCTGGACGGCAAGAAGACCACAGGGGGGCGCATGGAAGTGATGGTGAGGATCAGAGAGCCGCTCAGCTCCCAGCAGCTGGAGAGAACGACGGAGAAGTGGCTGGTCATCGACCCACACAGCATACCTGCGGTACGTTACTCTCTGCTCCAGTGATTGGGTATCGCCCCCCCCCCCCCCAACCCCCTCCCCTCCCTCCCACCTCCCTTCCTTGCTTCCTTCAAGACCCTCCTCTTTGACCCCCGCCTTCGGTCACCCTCCTACGCGTGTTCCCGCTGGCTCTCAGTGTGACCATTTTCCCTCCAGATCGCAGTGCCGAAGGCGAAACAGCGGCAGGAGCCTCCGCGGGAGGTGGGAAGAAGGTGAGTCCGAGGGCGCTGGGCACTCGCTGTGTGTGACTGGCAGTCGGCTGTGGGTTGTAAAGCGGGGGGGCTTGGGGCGATGGGAGAGTGAGGGAAGTGCTCACAGGTGTGGGTTATGGGGGTGGTGAGGGGCTCGACTCAATAGCAACACAAATCTGTACAAGGCTCGAAACCCTCTGAGAAAAGCCAGACGATCCTCTCTCTCTCTTCCCCCCCCCCCCACCCCGGATCTTCTGTGGTTTGGAGTCTCTCAGCCGCTGTTTGTGCCGCTGCCGTCTCCTGGCATTGTCCAGAGCCGTGAGGAATGTCTGTATCTGTGCCATGTTCTAGCCTCTCACTGCACACACTGAGCCTCTGCATTCTCAGCTTCTCAGCCATCCTCCTGTATCGTCCAGTACCAAAATCAGACATCGCTCCCCTTGTGTTCAGCATTTCTGCGCCAGCCCCCCCCCCCCCCCCCGGCCCACCGGCCCCCAAACAGTGTGGAGGGAGTCTGACTCTCTTCCACTGTGAGGACGTCACATTCTGTCCTCATCTGACATCCACATACACCCACACGCAGCAGTGAGTGTGAATAAACAATCAGAGCTCGGAGCCCATTTTCTCTCTGTCTGTCTCTCTAACCCGTTCTCGAGTTCTCTGATGCCGATCGTAATCTCACTCGGTCCAAATCAAGGTGTGTTGGTAAACTTCTTTATTTGTCAATTCCTAAACTCTCAATAATCCACCACTCCAAACCACAACAAATGACATTAACGCAGCGCCTTTCACGTCAGGAGGACGTCCCAAGGCGTTGAACAGTCAGGAACCGCACCCGAGCTGGTGGTTGGGATCAGGAAGTGGGGAGGACGGGGAGAGTGAGGGGTAGGAGGGCGACCGAAGGCGCAGTCGGAGAGGAAGGTCTTGAAGGATGCAAGGGAGAGGGGAGGCAAGGCGGAAGGAAACTGGCCCTTTTGTTGATTGTCAATTTACCCTTAAAGGAGTATCCAGCACTGATTCTGTCCAGCTTCTCCTCTCGCTTCCTTCAGTGGCTGTTTTATCTTTTATTTTCCATTGCCTTTCAGATCCACAATTTGCACTTTAATTTAATTCGGCAGCAGCTTTTGTCCCAACACGATCCGCCCACTGACGCCCGCCCGCCTGCTCTTTCTTTTTTGGGGTTCATTGGAGACAGAGACTGAGCCTGGCTCAGTCATCGGCAGTGACTGGCCTCCTCGGAAAACCTCACGTGGAGAGGAAAGAGCCAGAAAAGGTCCCTCCCCGCCCCCGGGGAAATCTTTCCTCTCTGCCCCCCACCCACCACCCCCCCGGCGTAATCTCTCCTCTGTGCCCCCACCCCACCCCCCAACCTGCACTCCACACCCTAGTGTTGTGCCTTGCCAGAGGAGGCGAAAAAGAAAAAGGCGGGGTGGGGGGGAATTTCCTCTATGATTCCCGATAGAGTCAGTGAGTGGAGGGTCCTGTAATTGATTGAAAGGCAGTGGTGTAAGAGAGTGGGTATGGAGTCCTGTAGCTCAGTAGTTAGAGCACTTGCCTCGCAAGCGAAAGGACCTGGGTTCAATTCCTGGGTGGGTCAGGGCGAAACATTGGGCAAATTTCCTTACTCCACACGCATGCCTTAGTTTACCCAGCAGTAAGTAGGAACCCGGTTGTTGGTGGATCGCTTTCTGGGGGTAATCATCCCTTTTTAAAAAAAAATGATTTTAGTAATAATGATTTGGTCATTCAATCCACGACTGTTTGTGGCGACGCTGCTGTGCGCAATTGGCTACTGCGTTTCTCCCACAAACCATACAGTCAATTCACTTTACAGTATATTCTGTGAAGCGCTTTGAGACGTCTCGAAGACGTGATAAGGCGCTGTACCAAAGGCAAGGATTATTATTATTATTATTATTTAAGCAGCCGGAAATGATGTACCTGTACGCTGTGCAGGACCTTTCCCTACCAAATCTCTTGAGATATTTGGTTCTTAAAGGGTTAACTCCGCTCCCCCCACGTTCCTGTATGTATGACTGAGCTGGCTCATTGAGTCATTCCCTCTCAGACGCCCAGCTGTTTTTTGCCTGGCAGCAGCTCCAGACTGCTGCATAGTTTTATGCTAAAATATCTATTTTTATACGACTGTAATTCGTAATTTATGTTCGGGCTTTTCTGCAAAAACAGATCAAAAGATTTACAAAGTTGCAGCTGCTCTTTGAGTTGTGGCGTAAACTCCGCAGCCAGACACATCTGTGCACTTTGCTAACAAGCTGGGACGCCCGTAAATCCACTGCGATAAAACGCTACGGCAAAAGTGGCGGTTAATATTTCATCTCAGTATTTTCTCCCCCGAAGGAATTACCCTCGGGCTTTCCGATTCCGAAAACTCGTTCCCTGTAGTGTGGACATTTCGTTACCAAGTTGGGTTCGAAGCCCATCAGCCATTTAGTTTTTAGTCAGGCGAGCGAGGGCGAGTAATTGGATTAGGGACCAGAGGTAAAGGATATTGTCGTGGCTGGTACAGAGTAAGTCACTGATGTTGCTTGTCCATCTCGTACTGTGGCCTCAGTGTCCCACTGGATAAAAAAGTAATACGGACATCAGCTGGGTATCCCTGTCAGACACACACACACACACACACACACTCTCTCTCTCACTCTGTCTCAAAGTGTGGGTGTGTGTCTCTCTTTGCCTCTGTGTGCGTCTTTCTGTGTCTGTCTCTCTTTCGCAGTCTTTCTCTCTCGTTGTGTCTCCCTCTCTCTCGCCTATCTACAGTACTACCCGAGATGAGTTCTCTGCCCCTCGCACTTCTTGTTACTGTACGAAGCGCTGAATCCTCACTGGTCCCCCCCGATGGGGTCTGGGGCCTGACTTACCCCAGCCCAGGCCAGTCCCGTCTCCGCTCCCTTACCCTAAACCCGTTGGAATTGTTGGGAAACCTTTTGTCGTTTGTGTTTTTAATAAATTATAACTTTTGTGTAGTAACTGCAGCTTATTGCCAATTATTTACCAGCATCTGAGGATAGAGAAGGGAGGGAGCAAGTCCTTGGCTTGTGCCTGCCCCCCCCCACCCCCCCCCCCCCCCACCCCGGTCTGGCTTCTCTCTTCTCCCCCCACCACTCCCTCTTCCCGGGACACTGCTCTGCATTCGCTCCTGCTTCACTGCTCACTGCCTGCACTGACACTACCCTCCTCGCTCTCTCTCTCTCTCTCTCTCTCCCTCTCTCTCCCCTGTGGCCTCTCACTTTCTCTCGTGTTTTTTTATATGTACGTGGAGGCGATCAGGAAACGGGCTTGACATCCGGGAAAGGTTGTCAACCGTTTTGTTTGGCTCTTGAGTTTTCTGACGGATGTAATTACTGGGGACTGGAAATTTCACTGGGAATGAATGTAAAGCTTCCTCCTGTCCAGAGGGGCTTGATGCCGTGACTCCCGGTATCGAACTGGTTGTTCGTCAGCCCGCTGCATGCCCAGTTAGGGGCCGCGGGTAAACAGGTTCCTGGAGAGCCTGGCACAAAGCTGCCAGGCCGGCCTATTAAAGGCAGCAGCAATTGCTGAAGAGCGAGCGGTGTAATAATAATAATAATCCTTGCATTTGATATAGCGCTTTTCACGTCGGGAGGACGTCCCAAAGCGCTTCACAGAACACACTGTAAAGTGAATTGACTGTATATTTGTGGGCGAACGCGGCACTCTGTGCGGGTTTGTGTGCGCTTGTGGTACGTGTGGCGTTTTGGCCATGTGCAGTGGGAACAGTTATGTGCAGATGTGTGGTTATGTGTGCGGTGTATGTGTGCGTGGGCTGTATGAGAGAGTGTGTGCGGTGTGTGTATCCACTGTGTGTTTGAGATTATGTGCTATAATAAAATAATAATAATCCTTGCATTTGATATAGCGCTTTTCACTTCTTTGGGACATCTCAAAGCGCATCACATGATAAAGTGAATTGACTGTATATTTGTGGGCAAAACGCGGCAGCCAATTGCGCACAGCAGCGTCCCACAAACAGTCCTGGATGAAGTGACCAATTTTATTATTGTTTTTTTCCTTGAGGGATTATAATCAGGCGTGTGTGTGGAATAAGGAAACTTGCCCAACGTTTCGCCAACGGGCGGGAATTGAACCCGGGTCTCTCGCTTGCGAGGCGAGTGCTCTAACCGCTGAGCCCCAGGAATCCATAATTATGTGCTGTGTGGGTGGGTGGGTGGATGCGCTGTGTGAGTCGAGTTGATGGTGGTAGCGGCTGGTAAATGAGCTGCTTCGTGGGTGGCGGGACTTCTTCTTTGACCCGAATTGTTTGTGTTTGTTTAACAGCCGGCCCGGCCCTGCCCCCTCGCCAGTGCCCACCTTTCACAGCTTCAACGTTCTCAAGTTCGACAAGGAGCGGCTGGAGAGGAAGGTGAGTGAACCCAACAGCCCTTTGCCCTCTTTCCCTGGACTGCGGTAATGTGGGAATCCTGGCCAGAGTCGAGGGTGGGTGGGGGGAGGTCAGCAGGCATTGTGGGTGCTGACAGACTGACTCACTCTCTCACTGACTCACTCACTGAAACACCAACTGACTGGCCACACATACTGACTTCTCTCTGTTTCTCTCTCTCTCTCCTCCGCAGATCCAGGTGTGCAAGCAGGAGCAGAAGCCGGTGCCGAGGGAGCTTCTGGATCAACACCGGGAGTTGCAGCAGCGGCTGCAGTGGCAAAAATCCCAGCTGGAGCGCGGAGACCCCGTCTTGCTCAGAGGTACAGCTCCTTCCTGCCCAGCTGCACCCCACCACCACCCCCCTGGCCCACGGCCCTCTCACACCTTCATCTTGAATGAGAAAACTGTGCAGCCTCACAAGCCCCTCAGTCAGTGACCTGCCTGATCCCCTGGGGGCTGGCGATGGGGAGTATTTATCGAGAGTTCACTGTGCTTCTGATATGAACAGCCATTATATAATGTCATCTGTTGTTGTTGAGGTTGTTGTCGGCCACTTGCTCCCGGGGACTCAGGTGGAGACGTGGGAATTGTGCTGCGATGTGCTGTCTCTTCCCAAGGTGTGGGACAGGCTTCCAGCACAGAGGCCACTGCACTGCACTACACTTCACTGGGGCGCTAAGCTGATCTTCACTGGACGGGATCGCTGATTGTGCCTTTAAACCTGTTGTGCTTTGGTGTGCGCTTTATAAATGCAAGTTGTTGTTGTTGTTTTACAGCGTACAGGGCGCGGCTGCAGGACTTCCTGCAGTACTACACACAGGCAGCCACACGCCTGGGCACTGAGGGCAGCCGGGTAAGTCTGTGTCCTCGGCACTGCACTCGGGTTTGCGCGAGAGGGTGTGTGTGTGTGTGCCTGTGTGCCTGTGTGTGTGCGTGTGTGCATAGGCGCGCGCGTTTGTAAGTGTGTGTGTGTGCCTGTGTGTGAGTGGACGCACATGCGTTTGAACAATAAATGCTGTGAACATGCTGCAAGGTGTGAATCTCAGACTCTCTCTCTCCCCGTCTGTGTCTCTGGCAGGAGTTGGCTAAAGAAGCGCTGTACAAGAGGAAGCTGGTGGAAGACGAGGTGAGTGCTGTGCTGTGCTGTGCAGACAGTTCAGAGCTGTGTAGAGCCTTTATATTTTCAAGTGAATAATGATAATAATAATTCTCGGATTTGATGTAGCGCCTTATCGCGTCTTCGAGACGTCTCAAAACGCTTCACAGAACACAGTGTAAAGTGGAGTGACTGTATATTTTGTGGGCCAAATATCCAGCTATTACCAAATGTGCTCCCGCGTTCTATTGTATTGTACATTTCAGTGAAGTCCTGTGTGTTACAGTGACGGACTGACTGTCGTGTTGTGTTCTCTGCTGTCAGCTCCAGAGACTGCGATGTTGAAGACCAAGTGGTTGTGGGGGCCGGGGGATTCCGCAATGTCCTGCGGTGGCTGAATGATCGCCGTGGGGACACTGTGCCCCCCCACAGCCCCCCTCCACCCCCAACCCCCCGGCCCCGTGGCCACCCCAGGCTGATCGCTGCAGGACGTGGGAATCGAATGATTCAGCACAAACTCCAAGCCGATCGGGTGACTCCAAGTGGGAAAATTGGGACCATCGGAACACTGAGTGAGGCAGGAGCTGGGGGCTCGGGTGTCGGGGGACAGGGTTTGAGGGAAGAGGTGATATTCTCTCTGATAGGAACGCTGCTCTATGCGACTGGGTCTGCTCGACTGCCTGGTGCTGGGGAAGCTTTTATCTGATAAACACCTTGTTTACCTTCATGATTAGGGCAGGAATCTGTGAGGAGGAACCCGAGATGGGGGGGGTGGGGGTGCAGTTTGAGGCAGCCCCTACAGCAAAGCCCAGGCACCAATTAAGTGTAGTGACTGTTGTGTCCCAGCTTCCTGGCTCTGCGGGAGCGGAGAGGGGGCAGTTGACAGTGCCTCTCTCCCCCGCTCCCACCCCATTCCCCCCAGCTCAGAGGAGAGAGAGAGCGTGTGTGATTGCTATCACAGGCAGCACTGCTCATTGAGCCACGTTTCCTCTCTCTCTTTCTCATGATGAGCCTTATCCACAATCACGTGTATTTTTATTAATCAGGGTATTAATTTTTACACCCGAGAATAACGCACACAATTATTTATCTCAGACTGTAACTGTTTTAATCGAGGAGGGTAGTTAGAGTGAGGGTTATCGGTGGGAGCTGACATCTTTATATAGGATACAAGGCCAGCCAGACCTCAAACACGTACACATCATGGCCAGGAGAAAAGGGTCGGAGTTTAGGATTAAAAGACCCGCTGTGATGTAGTGACCTGTGACAGACTGGGAGGTGTGTGACTGGCCTCCTGTTCCTCATCACTGTGTCTTGGGCCAGAGACGGGCTAGATTTCCATTTTCTTGGCCAGCTCCCAGTCAGTCACTCACCCAGGACAGGCGTCTGTGTCTAGAGAGCAGGTTATATCTTCTAGATATAGGACACTATACACTATATACTCGATTGAGGTGGGGGAGAGATTGAGGGGGGGGCGGGGGGCAAAAGAAAGTGGGGAGAGTGTCTCACCCCAGGTCGGTTCTGGATGAGCCACTGCAGGTAGAATGCAATTTAACCAAAGGTTCCTGAATGATGGACAGACGGACGGATTGACTGACTGACTGACTATCTGCACGTGTCAGTTTAAAGCACTCCACCGCCACACCACCACAGGAAGAATACTGTAAACCGCTTCTTACTGAGCACACGGGTGTTGCGCCAGAGGTGGGAATGCAGACACACTGTGTGTGGCAAGCATCCGGGACTGTACTGAGATGTGAGATGCACCTGCTCACTCCCCAATGTGTGCTCTCTCTCTCTCTCTCTCTCTCTGTCTCTCGCTATGAACTGAATGTTAGCTTTTCTGTCTCACTCTCTACATTGAATGCAAGTCTTTCTCTCACTCTGCACTCAGTGTAAGTCTCTCTGTCTCACTCTCTGCATTGAATGTAAGTCTCTCTTCTTTGTCTTCACTGCATTGAATGCATCTCTCTCTCTCTCTCTCTCTGTCTGTCTCACTGTGCACTGAATGTATACCTCCGTGTCTCTGGGTGATGGGGTTGTGTTGTGTGTGTCGGGTTTGCCTGAAGTGCCTGCTCATTGCCAGCGCCAGTGTGGGGTGCTGAGCGTGTGGTGTTAAGGGTTGTGGAGTTTATAATATAATAAACTTGTAATGGGAAAGAGCTGCAGAGAGAGAGAGGGAATGTTTCTTTCTCCGCTTGCGACCGAAGCCACCGTGTTTTGCGTCACGCGCAGTCCTTACAACAACACACACGAGACCCGGTGGTGTGTTTACAGGGAAGCGTTTTATTCGGATTTAAAGTATTTATTCTTCTACAGACGAGGGATTTCACAGGCGGTGACTTGAGTGTTCTGCGTGTATATGTATGTGTGTCCGTGCAGTGCACAGTGCGACCTGCCCTCCCGAATACCCTCACCGCCAAAGCGTGCTTCACAGGTTTCCTGTAAAGTGTAGTGACTGTGCGTGTTGCAGAGTTCACTGTGAAATGTAGTAACTGTGTTTGGTGCAGGGCTTACTGGTACGATAAAGTGACTGTGTGTGTTGTACAGGGTTTATTATAAAGTGTAGTGACTGGCGGAGCTTGCAGTGAGTGTGCCGGGCTGAGTTTGCAGTGCGGAGTGCCGGGGTTGGGAGAGCACTGGCTGCACTGCCCCTGGGGGCGGGCGGGCGGGCGGACCGGGTGATTCCCCCCAGACCGTGACCGATTGATGGCTGGTTAAGCTCGCTGAGACGCTGCCAGAGCCGTTGCTGATGTTCCGGGGTGCCCGGGCAGAGCTAGCGAGGGGGGCTGTGCCCGCGGGCTGTGCCGTTGCCCGGTGCCCACGTGGTGCTGTCCAGCCGGATGCTGATGTGCTCCGGGTTGCCGGTGAGATCCAGCACCTGGAGCTGGTGCAGGGAGCTGAAGGCGGCCTGGGCTGTGCCCACCACCGTCAGCCGGTTCGACCTGTGAGGAGACGGCAAGAGGCACATTGTTCAACAGTTCCTGATTCCCCCCCCCACCCCCTTGCAGACTACCTACCTGAGCAGCAGCACCCTGAGGTTGGGGGTGGAGATGAAGGAGTCGGGGGTGATGGTGACAATGCGGTTGTGCTGCAGGTAAAGGTTTTCCAGGTTCTCGGGCAGGTCCGGGGGTACATAGGACAACTGGTTATACCCCAGGTCCAGCAGCTGTGAGGGAGAGAGAGGCACGGTTACACCCACTCCGGTTTGGCGGGGGTCTCGCGCTCTCCTGGCACAGCGACCGTCCCCTGAGTTGGGCTTAAACAGACTCCCTCTGTGTCCTGCGTTGTTGCTGTTGTGTTCATGACTGGAGCCCTGTAGCTCAGCGGTTAGAGCACTCGCGAGCGAGAGAGACCTGGGTTCGATTCCCGGGCGGGTCAGGGCGAAACTTTGGGCAAGTTTCCTTACTCCACACACACACACACACGCCTCTGTTTAGCCGGCAGTAAGCAGCCGTGCGCAATTGGCTGCTGCTGTTCGCCCACAAAACATACAGTTAATTCACTTTACAGTGTATCCTGTGAAGCGCTTTGAGACGTCTCGAAGACGTGATAAGGCACTGTGTCAAATGCGCGGATTATTATTATTATGGTTGGGTTGAGGTGTGTGTGTGTGTACTCACAATAGACTGACTGGCTGGTGCGTGTGCCTATGGCTGGGTAGGGCTGTTTGTGTGTGCCCTGGGCTGCTGTGTGTGTGTGTGTGTGTGTGCCCTGGGCTGCTGTGTGTGTGTGTGTGTGTGTGTGTGTGTGCCCTGGGCTGCTGTGTGCGTGTGTCCGTGCTGGTGTGTGTGTGTGTGTCCGTGCTGGTGTGTGTGTGTGTCCGTGCTGGTGTGTGTGTGTGTGTCCGTGCTGGTGTGTGTGTGTGTGTCCGTGCTGGTGTGTGTGTGTGTCCGTGCTGGTGTGTGTGTGTGTCCGTGCTGGTGTGTGTGTGTGTCCGTGCTGGTGTGTGTGTGTGTGTCGTGCTGGTGTGTGTGTGTGTGTCCGTGCTGGTGTGTGTGTGTGTGTCCGTGCTGGTGTGTGTGTGTGTGTCTGTGCTGGTGTGTGTGTGTGTGTGTCCGTGCTGGTGTGTGTGTGTGTGTCCGTGCTGGTGTGTGTGTGTGTGTCCGTGCTGGTGTGTGTGTGTGTGTCCGTGCTGGTGTGTGTGTGTGTGTCCGTGCTGGTGTGTGTGTGTGTGTCCGTGCTGGTGTGTGTGTGTGTGTCCGTGCTGGTGTGTGTGTGTGTGTCCGTGCTGGTGTGTGTCCGTGCCCGCTCACCTTCAGGCTGGACAGCTCCTGCCAGCTGCCAGGGGCCAGGCCGGCGATGGTGAGGCTGTTGTGGTCGAGGTGGAGCTGGCCGAGGGCGTGCAGACCGGCCAGTCTGCGCGGCGATAGCCGGGAGATGTGGTTGTGCTGAGCCCTGAGGTCCTGCAGGCCGGACGGGAGCCCGAGGGGCAGCAGGGTCAGCCGGTTGCCGGACAGATCCAGGCTGCGGAGGCGGCGAAGCTTCCGGAAGGCCAGCCGGTGGACGCGGGCCGAGCGCAGGAGGTTGTAGCTGAGGTTGAGCTCGGAGAGGAAGTAGCCGTTGACGAAGTCCGAGGGTCCGAGGCTCTCTATGCGGTTGTGCAGCAGCATGAGCGAGCGCAGACGGCGGGGCAGGTTGGGCGGGACCCGGCTGAGCCGGTTGCCGAAGACGTGCAGCGTGTGGAGGTGCCGGAGCTTGTCGAAGGCCCCGGGCTGGATGCCGTCGGCCGTCAGCCGGTTGTTGTGGAGCAGCAGGTACTGCAGCCCGCGGGCGGCGCTCAGGCTGCCCTCTCGGACCCCCGCGATGCGGTTGCGGCCCAGGTGCAGGATCAGCAGGCTCGGCGGCAGCCCCTCGGGGATCTCGGTCAGGTTGTTGTGGGAGAGGTCCAGGTACTGCAGCCCCCTCAGCGAGCTGGTCACAGGGGGAGAGGGGTTACACTAACCACACACCGACTCACACACACACACAAACACACTAACTAACACATACACACTAACACACACACTAACTAACACACCAACGAACACATACACACTAACACACACTAACTAACATACACACTAACTAACACATACACACTAACACACACTAACTAACACACACCAACGAACACATACACACTCACACACACTAACTAACATACACACTAACTAACACATACACACTCACACACACTAACTAACATACACACTAACTAACACATACACACTAACTAACACATACACACTAACACATTCACACACACTAACTAACACACACACTAACTCACACTAACTAACTAACACATGAGAGAGAGAGGTAATATACACTAACACACGCGAGTGAGAGGTCACAAACACTAATCCGTACACGTTAACATACACACTGTGCAGTCACTGTGTATTTTGTGGGTGAAATTCACGTGATAGAGACCCTGAATTTCACCTCACCTTCGCCCGTGTAATCGTCCGGTCTTAAAATGTAAGATTGTGCGGCGTCGGAGGAACTCGCCCAACCCCCCCCCCCCCCATTGCCTGCACCCCCTCCCCTCCCTCCCTCCCTCCCTCCCACTGCCCACCTGAAGGAGTGGTTGTTGATGCTGGCGATGGTCAGGTTGTTGTGCTGCAGGTGAAGCTCTCGGAGCTCCAGCAGCTCCGTCAGAGAGCCTTCAGGCACCTGAGAGATGCGATTGTTCTGTCAGCGCAGGAAAACCAGCAGCGTTAGTTGGTGTGTGAGAGTGAGTGAGCGCAGGTGTGTGTGAGCGTGGGGTGTGAGAGTGAGCGCAGGTGTGTGAGTGAGTTAGGGTGTGGGTGAGTGTGAGCGCAGGTGTGTGTGAGAGTGCGTGCAGGTGTGTGAGTGAGTTAGGGTGAGTGTGAGTGTGAGTGAGTTAGGGTGTGGGTGAGTGTGAGCGCAGGTGTGTGTGAGAGTGCGTGCAGGTGTGTGAGTGAGTTAGGGTGAGTGTGAGCGCAGGTGTGTGAGAGTGAGCGCAGGTGTGTGAGTGAGTTAGGGTGTGGGTGAGTGTGAGCGCAGGTCTGTGAGTGAGTTAGGGTGTGGGTGAGTGTGAGTGCAGGTGTGTGTGAGAGTGAGTGCAGGTGTGTGAGTGAGTGCAGGTGTGTGAGTGAGTTAGGGTGTGGGTGAGTGTGAGCGCAGGTGTGTGTGAGAGTGAGCGCAGGTGTGTGAGTGAGTTAGGGTGTGGGTGAGTGTGAGCGCAGGTGTGTGTGAGAGTGAGTGCAGGTGTGTGAGTGAGTGAGTTAGGGTGTGGGTGAGTGTGAGCGCAGGTGTGTGAGTGAGTGAGTTAGGGTGTGGGTGAGTGTAAGCGCAGGTGTGTGAGTGAGTTAGGGTGTGGGTGAGTGTGAGCGCAGTGTGTGTGTGAGTGTGAGCGCAGGTGTGTGAGTGAGTGAGTTAGGGTGTGGGTGAGTGTAAGCGCAGGTGTGTGTGAGAGTGAGCGCAGGTGTGTGAGTGAGTTAGGGTGTGGGTGAGTGTGAGCGCAGGTGTGTGAGTGAGTGAGTTAGGGTGTGGGTGAGTGTGAGCGCAGGTGTGTGAGTGAGTTAGGGTGTGGGTGAGTGTGAGCGCAGGTGTGTGAGTGAGTGAGTTAGGGTGTGGGTGAGTGTGAGCGCAGGTGTGTGTGAGCGGGTATGAGCGCAGTGTGAGTGGGCAGAGGGGCTAACCTGTAGGTGCAGGTGTGTGAGCCGGGGTGGCAGACCGCACGGGATGAGGGTGAGGTTGTTGTCGGACAGGACGAGGACGCTGATGGTGTCGGAGCCGCGGAAGATGCCGGGAGGGAGGCTGCTGCTCACCAGCTGGTTATTGTGGAGATAAACCGACCTGCGGGGAGAGAGCGAGCGAGAGAGAGAGAGAGAGAGAGAGAGGGACTCGGTTACCGGCACTGAGCACCGCTCCGAACACACGGTGACGGGCAGAGCTGATGGCGAGCGAGGGGCGGAGCTATTGGGTGAGTGTGGGAGGCGGGGCTTGGGGTGAGGGGTGGGGCTGGTGGTGAGGGGGTGGGGCTGGTGGTGCGTGTGGTGGGAGGGGCTTGTGATAAGTGAGGGGGCGGGGCTGGTGGTGAGGGGGTGGGGCTGGTGGTGAGTGTGGGGTGGGTGGAGCTCATGATTGAGGGGTGGGGCTTGGGATGAGGGGCGGGACTTGGGATGAGTGTGATGGGAGGGGCTTGTGATAAGTGGGGCGGGACTGGTGAGTGCTGGGTGGGTGGAGCTCAAGATTGAGGGGTGGGACTTGGGAGGGGAGGGCTGCCGGAGCTGGCGGTGAGTGACAGGCGGGGGTGGGGGCTGATGCGAGCTTGGGGTGGGGGGGGGCTGATCCGAGCTGGAGGTGGGGTGGGGGGGCTAACGCGAGCTGGAGGTGGGGTGGGGGGGGGGCTGACGCGAGCTGGAGGTGGGGTGGGGGGGGCTGACGCGAGGTGGGGTGGGGGGAGGGCTGACGCGAGCTGGAGGTGGGGGGGGGTTGACGCGAGCTGGAGGTGGGGGGCTGGGGGGGGGGGGCTGACGCGAGCTGGAGGTGGGTGGGGGGGGGGGCTGACGTGAGCTGGAGGTGGGGGGTGGGGGGCTGACGCGAGCTGGAGGTGGGGGGGTGGGGGGCTGACGCGAGCTGGAGGTGGGGTGGGGGGGGGGGGGGCTGACCGGAGCTGGAGGTGGGGTGGGGGGGGGGGCTGACCGGAGCTGGAGGTGGGTTACCTGAGTTGGGGTTTGTGACCGAACGTGTGGGTGAAGATGTCCCGGAGTTGGTTGGCCGCGAAGTCCACGATGCGCAGTGTGTCCGGGAGCAACCGGGGGGCAGACGTCAGCTACAACAACAACAACAACGTCTCGCATTTACACCGCGGCCCCCTCACCCGGGGGAGCTTCCCGGAGCCGCTTGACAGTGGCGGAGCACGAAACCGAGAGGGAGGGAGGGAGGGAGGTGACCGCAGGTCCAAGTGGAAGTTCTTCCTGAAGGCGGCGAAGGAGGGGGCCAAGGCGGAGGGATTGGGGGGTGAAAGTGACGGAGCTTTGGGGAGTAGTGGCTGAAAACGGGGGCAACGGAGGAAAGCGGTCAGGGAAATTGACCCACTCTCGGGTGGGGGGGGAAGGGGTGGGGGTAGGAGCTCTGACGCTGGCGGGGTGGGTAGCTCTCACCTTGTTGTTGGCCAGATACAAGTACTCGAGCTCCTGGAGAGACTCGAAGGCTCCGTCCGGCAGACCTGACATCAAAGAAATTAATAATCCCCGCTCACACGAGGGGACGCCTCACGGTGCGGCTCAGGGACTTGCATTGCATAATAGTAATAATTTATAATAATCAATAATAATAATACTCATTGGCATTTGACGTCTTCCAGGCGCCTCAGAGCGCTTCACAGGCTGGTAGGGTAACGCGGAGTGACTGTGTGTATTTTGGAGGTGCTCGCGGTGGCCGATTTTGCGCACAACGAAGGCGGTGAAGTCATCTGTGTTACCTGTAATGTTGAGAGTCTCAGCCCAGACGGAGACACTGCGCGGTGTGTGGGGAGAAAGGGGGAAGGGGCTGCTCGGTGGTTGGGGGTGCGGGTGGGTGGGGGGGGGGGGGGTGAAGGGAGCGATGGGAGGGGGTGAGTGTCCACCGTGGCACCTTGGGACAGCAGGCGGTTGTGGTGGAGGCTGAGTGTCCGGAGTTTGGTGAGGTGGGACAGCTCCTCATACGGAATGGTTTCCAGCCGATTATTCTGTAACACAAGCACCGGCCGTCAGTGCCGCCCACCCCAGGCAGCGGCACAAATCGCCCTCAATCCCCCCCCCCCCGCCCCACTCTACGTCCCTACGTCTGATGAGAAAATACTAATAATAATCCTCGCGTTTGACACAGCGCCTCATCACGTCTTCGAGACGTCTCGAAGCACTTCACGGGATATACCGTAAAGTGGAGTGACAGTACGTTTTGCGGGTGAAACGCGGCAGCCAATTGCGCACAGCAGCGTCCCCACAAACAGTCGCGGGTTGGGTGACCAAATTATTTGAGGAGGTGGTGGGGGGAAGAGGTTGTAGCATTAGTACAGGATACAGCGAGTGTCTTGTGTGAGACCCCACCTCAGCCCCACCCATCCACCCCGGTCCCCAACACTCCGTGACCACCCGACCTGGGCTCGGAGCCAGTACCTGCAGAGACAAGAGCTGAATGTTTGCCGACAGGTTCCTGGGGAAGGTGGTGAGATCGGCTCCGTTGCAGTCCACGGTCTCCTCCGAGGGGCAGGAACACCGGGGGGGACAGACGTAGGCCCGCGGCACAGCCTCCGCGTCTCCCCCCCGCTCTCCGTCCTCGCCAGTGCTCGCTGCCACGATCGGCGTCAGGAGCAGCTGCACCAACAGCAGTCGGCCCCAGGGCAACATCTGGAAGGCAAAGGCACAGCTGGACGCGATCAGCCAGGGCTCCTCGTGTCTCACTGCAATTCTGGAGCGTCTCGAAGGCTTCACGTACAATTACAGGTGAGTGATTTACAACAAGAAGTTCTTGCATTTATATATAGAAGCCCCCGTCCCAGTGCGCTTTTACAGTGAAGAGAGGGGGAAAGAGAGCGGGGGAGCGCGAGGAGTCGGGACATCTCTTTCAAAGAGTCGGCGCAGGCACGATGGGCCGAATGGCCTCCTTTCTGCGCTGTAAGATTGTTTCATTCCGTGCGCAGAGTAAAGCTTCACCGAGGGCAGACGGGGAAGCAGAGAGAGTCAGCGTCTGGCAGAGAGAGAGAGAGAGAGAGAGAGGGGTCGGAGGGGAGAGCGACAATGCCACTGTCAATTAGTTCCATTTGTCGATGGGATTCTGTGGTCGTTCTTGACAGTAACGGTGCTTTCAGCGCAGGTCAGCCACGGTGCCGCTATCCCCATTTATCATTAATCCCTCTCTCCGCTTGCGCCCCAAACCCTGAGTCCTGTAGTTCAGTGGTTAAAGCACTTGCTTCTCAAGCGAGAGACCTGGGTTCGATCCCCGGGTCAGGGCGAAACCCTGGGCAAGTTTCCTTACTCCACACACGCACGCCTCTGGTTATCAGCAGTGAGTAGGAACCCAGTTGTTAGTCGATTGGCCGATCGCTTTTCCGGGGGTAATAACCCCTTCAAAAAATAATAATAATAAATCGGTCACTTCAATCCACGGCTGTTTGTGGGGACGTCGCTGTGCGTAATTGGCTGCCGCGTTTCGCCCACAAAACACACAGTCTATTCACTTTACAGTGTATCCTGTGAAGCGCTTTGAGACGTCTCGAAGACGCTCAAATGCGATGAATTAACAATTATTATTAGCCATTTCCCTTTCGTGTTGCTCTGATGATCCAGTCTCAGTCGCACGTGCGGGAACTAAGCCACACCCCGACAGACCAGGGAGGGAAGAAATTCCTCCCGACAACCTCTTTCCCGATCTTTTCCAAACCATCCCAGATGTATCCCTGGGACTTTCTCTGGAACCTCCTGCGATCCACCCAGCACTTATATGTTTGCCGGGAAACCCAGAAACCCCATCTGCAAGTCCCACACACTGGAAGAAAAGAATAACAGCCTTTAAAGGCGCATTGCAGTCTGTAAAGGCTCTAATAATATCCCTTACCTCGGAGAAGACAATCAGAGACGTTCAACGGGAAAATAAACCCAGAACTCTTCTTCTCAGCGTATAATCCTGAGCTGAGATCCCTCTCTGCGACAGAGTAACTGCTTTATAACCTACACAGGAACGCCTTCCAAGCCCCTGAGAAACACAGCCTCTCTCTCTCTCTCTCTCTCTACGCTTCGCTGTGTTGATCAAGATGGATTGCTGAGATTTTTAGCGTGATAAGTGTCGTGCTGGCTTTGAACCGAGCTACGCATCGCTCAGACTCGCAGTCTGTGTTGTACAAATCCTGTGGAGCTGACAGTTGGGGAGAGAGAGAGAGGGAGGGAGGGAGGGAGGGAGGGATGTTGTCAAGGAATAATTTACAATGATTGTTGCAAGTACACACCTCAGCAAGTGATCCACAAGCGACATTTAACTTTATCCATCGACAATCCCTGGCTCCCTACCCATTCCAACAGTGAGGTGTTTTGTATGAGTGAAGGGCGCTATATAATAATAATAATAATAATAATAATCCTTGCATTTGACATAGCGCCTCATCACGTCTTCGAGACGTCTCAAAGCTCTTCACAGAATATACTGTAAAGTATATTTTGTGGGCGAAACGCAGCAGCCAATTACGCACGGCAGCGTCCCCACAAACAGTCGTGGATTAAGTGATATAAATGCAAGTTGGTGGTGGTGGTGGTAATCTGTTCCAGTTGTTGGTTTTCCTCTGTGTAAAGGAATACTTCCTGGTGTCTGACCTAAAACTCCCCTTCGTACCCCATGCTGACCCTATGTCTTCTTGTCCAGTTATCCTGGCATTTCTGATCCATTCACCTTCCAGATCATAATTAACATTTTATACAAGGTCCTCTCTTGTATGGAAGAGAGAGACGATGGAAGCAGAAAGTGTTGATTCTTTCAAAAGCAAATTAGAGAGATTTAGGAAATAATATCTTGGGATACGGGATATAGTTTGACACATGTCATGTGCATGCGATGCCAGGATAATGGAAGGCAAACTGGATTGGACCTTGGTCTTTTGTCTGGCAAATTCTTACGTCCTTATGTAGATTTCTTGTGTTGTACGTTCTTACGTATGTCGCTTTGCGAGGCTGATGGTTCTTCACTGACTGTCCTTCCGGGGATCAGCCTCGTTACTCTCCTCTAGGGCTTGGAGCTTGAGTTGCGGAGACTGGAACTGTCCCTTTAAGTGATCAACCGGCTGTGCCAGAACTTAGAGAAAGGTTTATTTGACTTTAACCGCAGCTCTTGTAATCCAATAGCAGCCAGCTGGCGCCCAGGCGAGTGTGGGGCTGAGGCCTGGCCCTGGACCCTGGGCAAGGCTATTCTAGAATATTCCAGCACTTCGAAGTCAACAAATGTGGCGTTGCTCTCCACAAAGTCCTACAGGCTGACTTGAGTGCCGTTGCTTTTCCTCACCCGGATTCCAGTTTATTATAACAAACTTTGTGTTTGATACAGGGTCTCTGACCTGATTCATTGGCTGCCGCATTTCGCCCACAAGTATACAGTCAATTCACTTTACGGCGTATCCTGTGAAGCGCTTTGAGACGTCTCGAAGACCTGATAAGGCGCCGTATCAAATGCGAGGATTAATATGAATATTACTGTATTACTGCCCAGTGTTGGTCAGCTCCTTAGGACTGCATTCGTTTGTCAGTGTCTTGGAATTTCCTCCCGACACGAAAGGCGCTATACGACAACAACAACAAGATTACATTTGTATGCAGTATAAATGCAAATTGTCGTCGTCGTGTTTGTAGACAAACAGCCAGTACGCATGCAACCATTTGTTGGGGGGGTGGAGGGGGGGGGGGGGGTTGGCAGCCAGGATACTGGGAGAAACTCCCTTCTCAACAGTGTCGCGGGATCTTTGGACGCGACCCCGTTTTACGGTCTGATCTGAAGGACATCTTCTGACCCTGACCATGTCCAGCGATACTATGTAATGGCGCCTCTTCCCCCACCAGGCGGTGCTGTTCCATTATGTCTGCGGTGGCCGCAGTACCGCTGTGCACCTGCTGGTGGCGCTGGCGGGCAGTGGCTCATGGCCTCCAATAGCATCACATCTCTGTCTCATTGACCGATTCCAGACCCTCAAAGGTTCACCGCTCCTGTTCCTAATGTCCTGATGCCTGGACTCCCAGGTGGAGCACAGCAGCTCAGGGCAAGGCAGCTGTGTCTCCAACAGCTTGTCCCTGCTGTTAAGGGCGCTATACCAGTGCAAGTTGTTGTTGCCCCCACCCACCCCCAAGCTCCAATGACTTTCCCCAAACCCCGCAGTCTTCCACCCCTATCTTCGACCCCCATCACCATGTCGGAGAGGGCATTCACAGGGTCTCCTCGTGTGCTGCAATGGGCATTAGCAGCGCAGTGAGCGAGTGACGGGGAAGCGAAGCACGTCTCTCTCTGTCAGGTCCTTGTAACAGGGAGACTTTGGCTTATCTCCTTGACTTCCCAGAGCCAGACAATCTGTGAGTCACCCAGGGGCACAGACTGACCTCCGAGCACAGCTAATAAGCCAGTTGCACTCTGGTTACGCACTCAGACCTGCCAATTCTCAGCCCCATTTCTTGGAAACACTTTTTATAGAAATTGTGATTGCCTGGGAGAGCTCTCGGGTACTGGCAGAGGGAACACACAAACATACAGAGAGAGGGGGTACAGATCCTCCAGTGTGTGTGAGTGGGGCCAACCTGAGACCCCCCCCCCCCCATGCCCTACACCCCCTACCATTCACAGCAGGGACAGTTTACTTGAAAGCCGGGCTGTTGAGGGAGCCTTTCTAGGGAGAGGCTGTGTTTGATGAGAATTTGGAAGGTCAGTGAAATGTGAGACTGCATTTCAGGAACAGAGCCCAGTAGCCAAGACCTGTGCCACAGCACGTAACAAGCACAGAGTCAGCATGTCTCACAGGTAGACATTTTCCTGTCACATTGAGCATCATTAAGAGGAGAAACATTGGAGGCCAATTCAGCCCACGGTGACTGTGCCAGCTCCCAGTCCTGCTCCCCTGCCCTCCACACCCTCTTTTAAGTCTTTCTCTACTTTCCGATGAAAACTATTGTGGCTTCTAATTGTACCTGGGTTGGGCATTCCATGTTCAATTCTCCTAACCTCACCTTTAGGCTTCTTTTGGTAATTAAACTCATGACCCCAAGTTCACCAACTCAACGACCAATACAAATAATTCCTCCACGTTGGCCTTAACAATGGACCCACTAGTCCCCCCCCTCCCCTTTCATCATTTGTGTCCAAGGATCAGAGACATCCGCTCCTCACAAGGTCTCAGTCTCTGCACATCTCAGAGTTTCACTGTTGGAGGAGCGCCAGTATCACTGTGTACCAGCCAATTCTCTAGAACAGGTTATCCCAGTCTCCCATTGCGATATTCTGGCAAAGCTTTCACACAATCAATCCAGGATGGATCTTGTGTACAAGACATCCCATAATATCACTCGAGTGGTAACAGAGTTCATCTCCTTCCCTCCCTCCCTCTCCTCAGTCACCGGGGCTATAAAAGCCCTAAACCTGTCCCCCACTGACAATCCCCCGCGCCGAATAATTATTATTATTGGTGAGATTCCTGACCGCTGAGAGCCAGGCTCGATGCAGCCTCACAGAGTGAGAGTGAGAAAGTGAGTGAGCACTGTGTGGCTCTTGTTAATGAGTAATCAGCTGTTGATGTTGGATCAAAGTTTGACCCTCCGTCTCTCTCCTGCCCAGCTCTGCTTCAGTTTGGAGCCTGTTCCTACTTCAGACTCCGAATTGATTTCACTTTTGTTCCCAATTGAAGCCCAGACTCTGCCCTACCCCTCGCTCCGACACGAAGGGGACCCAACTCCACAGGAGCACTTCCCCCATTCCCCACCCCCCCAACCCCACCCCCAACCCCAGGCCACAATCTTGATTTAACGTCTCATCCGAAGGACAGCACGTCCGACTACTCAAAGCCCCCACATGTGGCAACGCATTGTCTTGTACTTGGGGTGAAACGCAAGGGAAGCAAGGGGGGGAGCACGTACGTGCAATGCGGACACTCACAAGCATGCACACACGCACATACACACGCACGCATGTCCACACAGGCAAGACTGCGATTATGTAATCGCACAGCAAGACAACGGGGGAGAATTTGCATCAGGAAGATCACGGTGTAAATTAGCCAGAGATGAACAGCGGAATCAAATTAGGTCAATCAGAATTTGAATGAGCATTTGGTTATGTAATGCAGAGTGAGGATTGTGTAAGAGCTTCTCACCAGCCAGTCGCCGCTCACTTATATAAGTTATGTAAAAAAGATTATTTTACTGATCTCTATGCAGTGATTCAGGACACACTGACATGTTGCATAAAAGGATTTACTCAGGGTGAGATGTAACATGTTATGTAAAGGCTCGATAGAACCTAACTGTTCCCTGTAGTGACTGATAATTAGACTAACAATCTGCAACAACACATCTCAAGGGTTTCACGGTGACTCAAGTGTAGTGACTGTGTGTTTGTGCACAAGCTCCCGTGTGTAGCGCACAGTGATTGGTACACTTAGCTGGGGAATCGTCGGCCGGATCGGCTCTTATTTCCAACAGCCTTATGGAAACAAGAACGAGGTTTCCCTAACCCCTCTCTGTGTGTAGGTGTGTGTGTGTGCGTATGTTTGTGTGTAGCGGGGAGAGCTTTAAGTGATTATAGCTGGGATGACGTAAGAATTAAACCACAATCTCCACAATCTCGGTCTGGAAGAGAGACACATTTGCTGAGATTCACCAACTCCCAAACCCGGCGACACAAAAACATTTGCAAATTGTGAGTCTATTTCTGGCCTGGGATGATGTCAAGGGTTGCCATGGCGACGCGTTGGTGATGGTGGTGGCAGTGGTTGCGGGGGGGAGTGATACCCGCACAAATGAGGATTGGTTGCCTGGGAAATGTGGTTGCCAGGGTTACCTTGCATCCTGGTTGCGATGGGATGGGATGGGATGGGTGGGCCCTGAGGTGACTTGGCTTCCCTGGTCTGACTTCACACGTGAATGGAGTGATGGATGGAGGCAGGAGGGAGTGATGGACGGAGGGAGTGATGGAGGGGAGGGAATGTAACACCGTGTAACACTCACTCTCTCCCGGTATAACATTCTCTCACTCGCGCTCTCTCTCTCTCTCTGAGTGTGTAAGTACCCGTCTAGTGGATGTGTAAAGAATTTACAGGTGGTTTAAGGCAGGTTTGAGATGAGGGGAGTGGGAGGCTCTCCGTGACGGAGTTCCAGAGAATGTCTGCTGATGGGGGGGCTGGATGGGGGTGGCGGGGGGGTTAGTGGGGGTCATGGTGGGTTCGAGGGTTGGGGAGTAAGGGTGAGGATTGTGAATCAGATGTGCCCTCGGGGCTCGGTGTTAAACACAGAGGGTTGGCTTCCAACACAGAGGAGAGAGCTTCTGTGCCCAGCGATGCCCGGCCTGAGAACAGACACCATGCCCTCTGTGCCCAGCGATGCCCGGCCTGAGAACAGACACCATGCCCTCTGTGCCCAGCGATGCCCGGCCTGAGAACAGACACCATGTCCTCTGTGCCCAGCGATGCCCGGCCTGAGAACAGACACCATGTCCTCTGTGCCCAGCGATGCCCGGCCTGAGAACAGACACCATGCCCTCTGTGCCCAGCGATGCCCGGCCTGAGAACAGACACCATGTCCTCTGTGCCAGCGATGCCCGGCCTGAGAACAGACACCATGCCCTCTGTGCCCAGCGATGCCCGGCCTGAGAACAGACACCATGCCCTCTGTGCCCAGCGATGCCCGGCCTGAGAACAGACACCATGCCCTCTGTGCCCAGCGCTCTGAGACCGGCTCCCACCAGACAGTCACCTCCTTTCTGATCATTCTCATGGATTACCTGAAAGGGAGGGGGGGGGAGAGAGAGGAGGGGAAGGGAAAGGGAGGAGAGAGAGGGATAGGGAGAGAGAAGGGAGGATAGAGCGAGAGGGAGGGGGAGAGATGGAGGAGAGAATGAAGGGGGAGGGAGGGAGAGAGGGATAGTGAAGGGGGAGGGAGGGATAGTGAAGGGGGAGGGAGGGAGAGAGGGATAGTGAAGGGGGAGGGAGGGAGGGAGGGAGGGATAGTGAAGGGGGAGGGAGGGAGAGAGGGATAGTGAAGGGGGAGGGAGGGAGAGAGGGATAGTGAAGGGGGAGGGAGGGAGGGAGGGAGGGATAGTGAAGGGGGAGGGAGGGAGAGAGGGATAGTGAAGGGGGAGGGAGGGAGAGAGGGATAGTGAAGGGGGAGGGAGGGAGAGAGGGAGAGAGGGATAGTGAAGGGGGAGGGAGGGAGGGATAGTGAAGGGGGAGGGAGGGAGGGAGGGAGGGATAGTGAGGGGGGAGCCGGGTTGGGGGAGTGGCTGACAGACTGGGGAAGGTTGGCCGAGGCTCAGACTAAGGCAGTTTCTCAGCTGCTCACAGCGCGGCGGCGGCTTTCGAGGAAGAGGAACAAATCCCCTCCGAGTCGGGACTGAGAGACTGTGGGGCTGAGGAGGGGGAGAGGGGGAGAGGGGGAGAGAGGCACTGGGAGTGTGAGTATCGCTGTCACTGATCAGCTTTGTGTCTGAATGTGTGTGAGTGAAGGTCTGAGAGACAAACACACACACATCTGTGTTACACACATCTCTGTTACACACATCTCTCTGTTTCTATCTCTGTGTTACACACATCTGTGTCACACATCATTATTATTTATTATTATTACACACACAAACATCTCTCTCTGTACCTCTCTCTCTCACACACACACCTCTCTGTTTCTATCTGTGTGTGTGTGTGTGTGTGACACACACCTCTCTCTCGGGTTAATTTGGTTCCCAGTCCCCAGTGCCGCTTTATGGGGATAATCCCAGCGCTGAGCTGCGGAGCGGTGTCGCGGCCACAGGAGGGAGAGAGAGAGACGTGGGAGAGGGTGAGGGTGTGGGAGAGGGTGTGGGTGTGGGTGAGGGTGAGGGTGTGGGTGAGGGTGTGGGAGAGGGTGTGGGAGAGGGTGAGGGTGTGGGTGAGGGTGTGGGAGAGGGTGAGGGTGTGGGAGAGGGTGAGGGTGTGGGAGAGGGTGTGGGTGTGGGAGAGGGTGAGGGTGTGGGAGAGGGTGAGGGTGTGGGAGAGGGTGTGGGTGAGGGTGAGGGTGTGGGAGAGGGTGAGGGTGTGGGAGAGGGTGTGGGTGAGGGTGAGGGTGTGGGAGAGGGTGTGGGAGAGGGTGTGGGAGAGGGTGAGGGTGTGGGTGAGGGTGAGGGTGTGGGTGAGGGTGAGGGTGTGGGTGTGGGTGTGGGTGAGGGTGTGGGAGGCCGTGACTGGGCGCTGATGGGGGGTTAAGGCTCTGAGATGAGCCGATTCCCCTTTCTCTAACACACACCTACATACAAACACTGTCTCTCACTGTCTCACACACTCACTGTCTCACACACACACACACACACACACACCTACTCAGTCTCTAACACCCACTCTCTCTCTCAGACTTTACACTCCTCCTCAGACTCTCTCACACACGCACTGTCTGAGCTCTTCTCATCCAATCTATTTCTGTCTATAAATGATAACATGGCCTCACTCCCCCCCTCTCTCTGTCTCTCTCCCTGACATGGGTTCATGGATCTGATGTGTGAGAAATTGTAGATTAACTGTTCAGATTAGAGAGAGACACACACACACATACATACAAACACACACACACTCACAAAGAAAGAAGCAGAGATATACACATCTCTCTCACACACATCTCTCACACACATTGTCTCACGCAAACTCTTAGGCACAGACACTCACTCCTACACAGTCTCACACACACGCTCTCCCTCACACAGCCTCATACACACACTCTTACACCTCTCTTACACACACACACACAGTGAGGGAGTAGGTCTGTCAGTAGGACTGACTGTAACAGCTCATGTCGGTGTGTGTCTCCCACAGAGAGTTGCTGAGGTGGGAGCGGTGTTGAATGGCTGCAGGAGGGACCCTCTCACCAACCCTGAACATGGAGAGCTATGAGGAGGCCAGAGAGGCGAGCTGTGAGCTGCTGGCGGAGCCGGGAGGTGTGTGTTCCCCGGGGCTGTGTTACCCCGAGCGGGCCATGTCCGTGTCGGTGTCGGTGTTGGCCCGGCCGCCCCGGCACAAGGACTCCAGCTCCGCCATCCGCAGGAAGCGGGAGTTCATCCCAGACTCGAGGAAGGATGACAGTTACTGGGACAAACGCAAGAAGAATAACGAAGCGGCCAAGAGGTCCCGGGAGAAGCGGAGAGTCAACGACATGGTCCTGGAGAACCGGGTGCTGTCGCTCCTCGAGGAGAATGCCCGACTCCGAGCCGAGCTCCTCGCACTCAAATTCCGCTTTGGGATCATCAAGGAGCCGCTGGAGTCCCATCTCCTGCCCAACCCCGGTCCCGGGTCCCAGCGCTTCCCCCCCCCGGGGCAGCCAGGCTTCCCGGCCAGAGGCGAGGGGTCGCCCTACCCAATGGAGAGCCGAGGCTTTGCTCCCAGCGGCAGCTGTCGGACTCTGGCCCGCGGGCCGGGGGTTGGGGTTGGAATGGGCTCTGCGGTGGAGGCGCAGGATTCCTGCCTGGTGTCTGAGGACTCTGGTATCTCCACCCCCGGCGGCTCCAGTGTGGGCAGCGGGAGCCCCGTCTTCTTCGAGGAGCCCCTGAGCGAGTCGGGCCGCGAGGAGCTTCGCTTCGAGCCGCCGCTGCCGTCGTCACACGCGTGCGAGCCCGGCCCCGAGCTCAGCGCCTTCCCGGGCCACAACCCCAAGCCAGCCTGCTCCCCCGAGCCCGCCAACATGGTCAAGTGTCTCCCCCACAAACTGCGCTTCAAGATCAGCGCCGGCCTGGAGGACAGCGGCGACGCCGAGTTGAGAGGTCGAGGGGCCCCGGTGGCGGGGGACGGTGCCCCCCGAAGAACTATCGACCTCCACCCGGATCGGGGAATGGTTCCCGGGGCGCCGCCCGCCTGGAGACCCCAACTCGGGCTGCTGGCGGAGGATTGCAGAGCTCTGCCAGGTCACAGAGGCGGCCAGGACGCAAGGCGGCCCGCGGGCCAGTGCCAGGCCGGCAGCTTCCCGGAGAGCCCTGGCTCAGGCGACTCTGCGGTCAAGTCAGAAAACCAGGGGTTGAAGACGCAGTTGGCTTCCCTGTCTGCAGAAGTGGCTCAGTTAAAGAGAATGTTCTCTCGCCAGCTGTACTCTAACCTGACCTAGTATGTGCTTCGGGTGCTGTGTCTGTCTGTCATGTTTGTTCGTCATTATGACTCTCTAACTTATTTGGAGAATGTGGGTCCATATTGTGAATATATAGCGGCGGAGGGTTGTGAATTGGTGTGAAATAACTTGTGTAAATAGATTTTTTAAAAGTTTTTTTTAATGGACTACTTGTCACTGTAATAAAAGTTTTTTTTTAAAGTTGGACACAAAGAAAGGTGAAAGTTTCTGAGTGTCGTTTGGCTTTTCAGGATTAGGGTCTGCGGATGGTTTTAGATATATATTACGATCAGCCGGGTATCTGACACACACGGAAACATGTCACTGTGATCAGCCGGGTGTCTGACACACACGGAAACATGTCACTGTGATCAGCCGGGTGTCTGACACACGCGGAAACCCATCCTGTGATCGGCCGGGTGTCTGACACACGGAAACATGTCACTGTGATCAGCCGGGTGTCTGACACACACGGAAACATGTCACTGTGATCAGCCGGGTGTCTGACACACACGGAAACATGTCACTGTGATCAGCCGGGTATCTGACACACACGGAAACATGTCACTGTGATCAGCCGGGTATCTGACACACACGGAAACATGTCACTGTGATCAGCCGGGTGTCTGACACACGCGGAAACCCATCCCTGTGATCGGCCGGGTGTCTGACACGCGGAAACCCATCCCTGTGATCGGCCGGGTGTCTGACACGCGGAAACCCATCCCTGTGATCGGCCGGGTGTCTCCAAACCAGACTGAGAATTCTGTGTATCCCAACTGCACGGGGAAATTCCCATGTATTGGAACTCTCTCTCTGAAGGGAAGCCTCCCCACTAAACTGGGAGGTAAGAGTGAGAAAGTAGGATTATTTTCGGGGTCATTCTAGGAAGAATGAAAAACCGATCTGATGTCAAAGCTAAATCCAACCAATATACCATGAGCTGTGAGGGGTCTTCCTCAGCAGTTCTACATCTGACTGTGGACTTAACTCACACAAGTACATGCACAGTCCTGCACACGTTTCCAGGAATCCTTCCCTGCTGGCAGATGCCAGGCTCAGCTTGAATTATGCCAATCTGCAATGCCAGCCTCGGGTGAATGCTGCTTTTCCCACCCTGATCTGAGCCTGGCAGCAGCCTGGCCTCAGTGGGTCAGGGTGAGGGTGAAGGTCGAGGTTCCTTCCCACCTCCACCGCCACTATCCAGTGTCGCATAGCGTGAGCGAATACAGCCACCAATCCTCTCCCATCCTGTGACTGTCCTGGTTATATTCCTTTCCAAGGCAGCCCAGAAAGTGAGACACGACACAACTCACTCCGTCCACAACAAACCCACAGACTGTGTTTATAATTGGTGTAACCGGCTCAGCCGGTGGGAGTGGATTGGAATCAGATCGCCACTCTGAGTGATGGCTCAGACAGGGGCGCACACACACACACACACACACACACAGCTCTCCTTCGACCACGCCTTCAATCATCGTCCCACTCCTGCCCTCCCACCCCCCTCCCCTCCTTGCTCCCCCCACCCTTCTCTGATCCCAACCCCTTGCTCGGGTGCAAACCCGTCACTGTCTGGTGTCTTGGGATGCCCTCCCGACGTGAAAGGCGCTGTTTAAATGCAATTTGTTGCTGGTTGAATAATGTTCCTATAAACAATACTTGATGAATAAATGTCAAAACGGGTCAAAGGCTTTGCAGCTGAGTGTAGTGACTGGCGAGTTTGGCGGCTAATGCATTCCCTCCCCCCCCCCCCCCCCCCCACACACACACATATACAAACACGGTGATGAAGTGAGGATTCCTGTGGTCAGGAAACCGAAAGAAACTCACTGCCCTTTAACCAAATGAGGGGTGGGATTCGCCCCCCTCCCTCTCTCTAATTCCAGGTATGTGTGTAAACATGTATGTGTAGTGTGTGTGTGTGTGTGTGCGAGAGTCCTGTTGGTGTAACAAGCATCGATTCCTCTGATATCAAGTCCTTGCTACAATACAATTTACCATTTATCTTCCTTCCTGTTGTCTCTCTCTCTCTGTATATATATATATTTATTCCACTTTTTTCTATCGTAAAGGTGGCTGCTTTGTGGCTGGTGCTGTGCCCTGGCTCAGACTCAACACAAGGAAGGAGGGAGGGAGGGAGAAAAAAAAACCTCGTGAAACGTGACCAGGCAGCTAAGTAGCTGTTATGCAACCAGCGACCTACTAACACACATTCGCGGAGTGACTGGTAGCAATCAGGGAGGCAGCACCACACAAGCCAGGACCCAGCAGACAGACAGACAGACAGCAGCTTGGCATCCACACTACACACCAAAGCCTGCAGGAAAATAACAACACAAAAACAAAACCTGGAGGGGGGGGAAAAAAACTATTGTAAGCAAAACGTTAGCTTAAAAACGAAACCTAACAGGAACAGAACTGGCCTGGGGATATTCCTGTCATAACGCTGATAAGGTACAGTGTGACTTGATCTACATTGTACTACCTCTCTCTACCCCCTCTCTCTCTCTCTCTCTCTCTGTGTCTTGCCAATTCTGGGTTTGGCATCAGCCTAATGGAAGCTGTTTCCTCAGTAAGTGGGTCAGTCAGCCATGCTCCATGTGCACTTCATTACAATGCCAGGAGCCCAGACTCTCTCATTTCATTATTTTTAAATGTATTTTATCTTTTATATATATATATATATTTTTTAAAAAGTCAGTCTTTTGCAGAAGAGGATTCTAACCTGGAAAAGGGAATCTTGTTACAATTTCAGGCTGGGGTTTGACATTCTCTCCCACCTCGTGGGGGGGATATATTCTACTGTTTAGTGTAATTGTGTTTAATGTCAAAATCCTGTTTCTTTTTGTTGTTGCAATTAGAGGGTTCTTAACATCAGGACCACAGAGTGAGGTAGTGGGATTAGTGGGGTCTGTCTGTCTGTGTAGTTGCCTGTGTGTGTTCCATTCTTGGGCCCCTTCTTTTCCTCATCTACATTCTCCCTCTCAGCGATGTCATCCGCAGACATGGGGTCAACTTCTACATGTATGCGGATGATACCCTCATCTACTTCTCCTCCAGCTGCGACTCTCATCTGCTGAGGTCTTGTCAGTTTGTTTGACACACATCAAGGCCTGGATGAGCGCAAATTTCCTGCAGCTGAATGTCGGCAAGATGGAAGCCATACTCTTTGGCTCCCGTCAATGTCTTCTCTGCTGCGGGTCTGAACTCAACCTTCATGGGCTCTCCCTCAGACTCAGGAGAGAGGGGGTGTGTGTGTATGGGGGGGGTGTGAAGGAGAAGGGGAGGGAGGGGCAGTAACAGAGACCATCTCCTCAGCTGATCCTGTAAAACCCGCATTTACAAGATGGGCACCAGTTTATGGTATTTTTATGACAGAGATAAAGAGAGTTAATGATTAGTTGGCTATGAGATGTGCAGAATCTGAAATTCACAAAGTCACCTTTTACGCTGAAATGAGGACTAGGCTCCAGGCAAGGAGGAACCAGAGCCAGGGGAGTGACACAGTTACTACACTGGGGGTGTGGATGGAGCCAGCAGGCAGGGGTGGGCACCAGGATGAGGGAGTGGGGAATGAATGAGGAACGGATCATTGTTGGTAAATAATTGAGTTAAGGTGAACCCAATGTCTGGCGGTGATGAGTGGTGGTCTGGGGCCAGGGGTGGATGGGGAAGAGGTGATGGTGAGGGGTGGATTTTGGTGACGGGTTGAGATTTGGTGGTGTGAGGGGTGGGAACAGCTATCATTTGGAGTCATAGGTGCTGCACCTCTGCATTGGTTTGGATGCAGTCATTCCACTGGATAGCAATTCCATGTGAGACTGTTTCATTTGAAAGGTTAATTATCTCAGAGGCTGTAATGGAGGAGGGGCAGACAGATTGCCAGACATACACACAGACAGACCCCACTGCCTGCCTCACTCCCTCCCTTGTACACAGTAACCAGTCCTGGTAGATTGGGTTTATTTTTATTTATTGCTAACGGATCATTTCCTCATAGCTCTGATGTCACTGGAAGCAGACCCGCGCCTCCACTCACGGTGAAAACAACTCCATTTAGATGACACACAAAACAAGGCTATTTTTAGTCAAGCGAGATGTACTCATCCCATTACCTATTTTCCTTGTTCAGCCAGTCAAGGCACCTCTCACTAAAATTATCTAATCAGTGATACAGAGAGACAAGTACATACACACACACACACACTCGATGTGTCCACCCCCCACTGTAACACTCTCGAGACGTGACTCTGGGTTAATCGGCTTCTGTCGATTCACACAGTCACAGAGTGGTTTGTTCGTTATCTTTGTAACATTGGTTAGATTAGACCACGCTTTGCCCTATTTTGACCGTAGCCTCTTCCCGTTGCCCTCACCTATATTTCAGGCTTGATGATGAGAGCATGAAACCCACTGAATGGCTCTGGATACTTCAATAAGGAGACAATGAAAGGCGTTGTGTGTGTGTGGGTGTGTGGGTGGGGAGTGGGGGATCAACTCCCGGTACCGCTGTAACTGGTGTTGGTTGCCACAGTACAGGGAGAAGCTCAGATTAACCCAGAGTCAGTCATGTCTCAAGAGTGTTACAGTGAGGGGGGATGAACGACACCGAGCTTCTTGGGGGGGGGGGGGGTGATAATAGTAATAATACTTCTTGCGTTGGATACAGACGACTTATCGCGGCTTCGAGACCTCTCAAAGCGCTTCACAGGATTACACCGAAGTGAACTGACTGTATGGCTTTAGTTTGTGGGCGAAATGGATGGTTGGATGATGGAGAAAAGGGAGAGAGAGAGAGAGATGTGGGGGGAGGAGGGGGGAGGCAATGCCAGAGGTAAAGCTTAACAAGGAAATGTGACAACTATTTACCATCTTGTTTGGTCTCTACCCTCTCACCCCCCCACCCCTCCCCCCACCCCTCACAGGTGAGCGGATGGTCACTGACCGCCCAGTGCGGGGATCGCTGAGACCCGGTGGAGGGGGGAGGAGGAGGGGATGGACGACGACTATCACTGTGAGGCGGACGGGCTGAGCTCGGGCTCCGTCTGCCTGTCTGCGGGCGAGGAGCCGGCGGCGAGGAGCAACCAGAGGCCGAGGCCTGGGTCAGGGGTAGGCCCGGGCCCCGCCACGTGCGGCCGCCGCCGCCGCCGCAGTCAGAGCCGCCGCCGCCGCCGCCGGCGGGAGTTCACCCGCGAGGAGCGCAAGGACACGGCCTACTGGGAGAGGCGGCGCAAGAACAACGAGGCGGCCAAGCGCTCGCGGGACAGGCGGCGCCTCGGC